ATAAAGTCATATCTGAAGATTATATTTGAATTTAGGGTAAATTTGGAATGAGATACATTTTAATTTCAAATCCGAACTATTTTAAATGAAAAATTTTGGGACTTAAAACTTATTCTTCTTTTTTCTTTTCAAACAAATACCGAAAATTATTTCAAAATCATTTTGGATTTGCAAATCCTAGTTCCAAACAAATGTAAAATTTCCTAAAACTAATTAATTAAAAAAATATTACTTTTTCATTTGATAAAATTTGGCTCCTCACAGTAATACGTATTTGACAATTGTGAGAGAAATGAAACCAAAAATTTATTTTAAAAAATAATAATTTGTAAATGTCGCTCCTACCTAACTAATAAAGAGCCAAATTTTGTAGAAAAATAGTACATGTATTAACGACGTACTAATAAAAGATAAATAGTATGCTAAAGACATCGTCTGCGAGGACAATTGAAACTCGACTGGGTGATAGGGTCTTTCATTCGAATTAGGGTCTACATTCTACATGGATATAACTAAACCACAAGATGGTAATGACAACATTATAAAAATGACTGGATTGGCCATTCTTACAGAGAATGTGATATTCCACTGCCACCACAGTTATCAGAGAAGGAATACCAATATGGCGATTGGCTTACGAGCAAATGTGCTGAAAAATCAGATTCAAAAACCTAAACCAGAAGTCACAAGAGAGGTGGAGGGACGAAAGTTCCGATGAGGAGATTGACAACAACACTGTGGCGGTGGTTGGCTGAGAACGGTACGGTGGAGAGAGAAAACGGCGATGGCATAATGGTTGATAAAATTAGGAAAGAAAAAATTTTGGCGAAAATCTCAGAAGGACATTTAAGAGACATATTATCGATTGAAAAAGAAAGCGTTGATGCTGGACTTCTGAATATAATAATTAAGGAGATTATAACGAACAATATGACAAAGATGATGGCAACAGAATTTTGGGTGAAAGAAGTTGCATTAGAAGATTGAAGACAATAGAGGGGCCAATTCCGAACAAGACGGCAAAGATGATGGCAACAAAAGGAACAAAATGTGACGATGAACATCAGTGCAGTAGCGATAAGCATAAATGGCGACAACAACAAGTAACAATGTGGTGTCGACGACGAGCAATAAGACGATGACAACAATGCAACAATTGAAGAAGACTAAAATTTTAGGGGGAGAGATGACATTTGGTTATGTAGTCACGTAGAGAAAAGAAAGACGCCATGAAATATGAGATTTGAGAGGAAGGTAGGGTTCATTAGGGTTTTGTAAACCTTGCTTAAGTTACAAAATTGCCCTTGAATTTTATTTTTTAATATAAATATTGGGATGAGATTGTATTTACAAAATAAATAATTAATTAATGAACCTTGATTAAAATGATTGAATTTTAAATATTCACCTTTTCTTTAGAAAGGCCAAATATACACTTACTTTTTATAAATTAAAAGAATAATAATAACGAAATTATCATGCACTACATTAATATCAGAATTTTTGTGTTTAAAAAAATCATAATTTTCATAGATGGTACAAGTGGTGTAGTAAATTTTCATTATTTATTTGCCACTGAAAATATTTTGAAAGAAAAATTTTTATTTGGTAACTCATATTTTCCTTCATAGTCGTCATTAATGTTTCCATTCTCATAGTCGTTTTCATATTCGCATTTAAAAGAAATAATTAAATAAATCATAATATTAAAAAATAGATAAATCATACTAAATTCATATCATGTATGAGATAAAAAAAATTACTTTCTTTTTTTACTATTGAATCTAAAAAAACCTAAGTAAAATAATATATTATAACTATAAAAAATTATTATAATTAATCAAATTTGCCCCAAAGCATTTTTAAATAAAGTTATTTCAATTAATAAAACACAAATTACAATATTAAAAAAAGTTATTACAAAAGATAAAATTATATTGACGGATAAATAATTATTTTAAGTACAACATATGGGATTGTGGTTCAAACTCACAACCTCTTATTCAGAGATATATGCATATCTACCCAAACATGTATTGTTGTTAAAATATAGATTAATCTATTTTATTAAGCTAATAAATAAGTCATCTATATAGATTATCAATTTATTATTTATTAATTTTTTTAAGTAGGGAGTGATTTATATGAATAAAAGTTAAAAATGATATACAATTAATATATGAACTTCTCCGTGGGTAGATAGCTCAAATCTCAGTCTTATAATTATCATGCTATATCCATAACACATTTATAATTTAAAAATAATAATTAAGTGAGCAACATCAAAATCACATCCATGGAAATTATAACATGTGAAAAAAATGTTGGAGTGTTTTTTCAACTTAGTTATATTATTTTAAAATTTTTAATTTAGTCTCTTATATTATACGATTTTTAAGTTAGTCTCTTACGATCAATAAATGTTAAAATTGACTAAGTATAAACTTACATGACACAGTATTTAATAAATTGGTGAAAATTTAGAAGACGAAAATATTATAATTCAATGAGTCGACAAAAAGTTATATAAGAAAATATATTATTTAGGACAATAAAGTTTTAAATTTCTACCGAGTTATTAAAATTTTTGGGAGGAATTAGAGACTCTCACATCTAAAATTACTTTTTTTTTCCTCCAAAATTTCACCAATGTCAGGTAAGTTTATCATTAGTCAAATTTAACTTACAATAGACTAAATCAAAAAATGTAAAAGGTACGAAAATAAATTGAAACTTTTTAATTATCAAAGACTAAATTAAAAAAATACATAAAGAACGAAAACATATACTTTCTCGTAAAAGTATTCAACCTACTAAATAAAATTGTATTATCTTTTTTTTTCTCTCTCTCTTTCTTTCAAATTTCCCATGGTCTATTTTGTGGTTTTCAATTTTGGGACTAATTTAGATTAATTTTACTTTTCTTCGACCAACATTAATTTTTCTGGCATAGCTTAATTCTAATTTTTTTTAATGGTACGATAAAAATATACTTTTCGAAAAGGTTATATAATATATACTTTTTATTGGTAGATACTAAAAAGTTTATATAACATTTACCATTTTGTATATACTAAACTAGGTTATATATATATATAACTTACAGTACGATATACCCACGTTATATAGTATATACCTTAAGGTCATCCAACATATACTCCATAGAATTTGAGGTTTGTTCATCGTTCACAGTACTAAACAAAGAAGTTAAATATAAAAACTTGATTTAATTAGAAAAACATATACTCAACATATACTTTATACTCCATATCCCTAAAAATATAACCAAACACATACTTATTATTTGAAAAAATAAAATTAAATATAAAAACTTTAATTAGAAAAGAATATACTCAACATATACTTTATACTCCATATCCCTAAAAATATGCCCAAACACATACTTATTATTTGAAAAAATAAAACTTGTATAATCGAGTTCAAAGAGGTTCGAGCTTTTGGTCTAATGCCAATAGGGTGAGTAACACAAATTTGATTGAGGTGTGGGTTAGCGCTGAACATTATATTAAAAGGATGTTGTTCGTGTCGGCAACGGGTGCTGCCGCAGATATGAATGTTAGAGTCGTGAATGAGATTGTCGAAGTTTGTGTCGTTCGTGGGTTATTGTCGATGAGTCCATGGGTCGCTAAAGAACGCCTCAGATATTGGGTGTTGAGTTGTTGTCGCAAGGATCTGTTGCAGATATGAGTGTCAGAGTTTTGAACGAGATTACTGCGGTGTCTGCGAGTGTTGCTATTGCTATAAATTTCCGTTTGTGGAAGGACCAAATCTCATCATAGGGTTGTTAGAGATCTCGTAATGGGATCGCTAGAGAACTCGCTCTTCATTATTGCTCAAGGATACGCTGGGCAAGTTTCTATTACCAGTCACTGACGCTTGCTCTCACCAGAGAAATGAGGAAGGGGACAGCGACAGGTTCTAGTGGGATAGAAATGAATTTTGGAAGATAATAGATTTTTCCATTTCAAATTTTTCTTCAATTATTTATTAAATATATATTACAATGGTTGTTACTTTTGTATTTATTTCTAAACAAGTCTATTTTTAGACCAAAGTTAAAATTCTCGAGAAATTAACCTATTTTCATCGTTAGAATCTCTAAACAGGCTAATAATATTACACTTTGGATCAAATGTTAAGGATCATAATAATATTTATCCCAACTTGAGAACCCAAATTCGGTCATGGGATAAAGTAGCCCAACCCAATTTACACTTTGGGTTGAATCATTCAGTTTGTTTCGGTTGCCTAATTACCTTAATACCTACAATTTTTTGGTTCTTTTTTTCTTTTTCTAATTTTTTACTAATAATATGATAATAATTTGTCAACGATACATAAATATAATTGACATATATCTCTAATTTAAAAATTATAAAAATTAATGTATATCTCTAATTAAAAAACTGTAGATTCAATCCCACGAAAACGTGTGAGTTTGAATCCACCCCTTATCCGTACTAAAACAAAAGTCGAATTAAAAAGGGAACGTGGTCCGAAAGAGAACTTTTGCAAAAAAATTGATCCGAATTTTTAGAAATTTAGAACAGAATTGAAATCAGTTAGCCAGTTACCGAGAATTAAGGGGGGGTTTGACCTTGACCTAATCGTCAGGAGAGATAAAAGGGGTGGTCGTCGAACGTAACACTTCTCTTTCTCCCTGCCTCTAGCCCTAACAGCGTCATTCTCTCAACCAAAAAGCGCTCTCCCGAAACTCAAACCAGCTGAAGGAGGTGGATTGGATTCCTTTTCTTTTGTCTTTAATCTGAATTTTCAGAATCAGAAAGAGTCGAAAGGAGATGGGCACGAAGGAAAGGGCCAAGGAACGAAGGGAAAAGAGAATGCAAGAAATATCCCTTCTCAGGACCATTCCTTACTCCGATCACCAGAGGTCTGAATGTATTACTTAATGACACACCTTGTTATTTTACACCTACTATCTTAATTCTTTCTTCGTTGCCCATAACTCATATTAGTATTGCTGAAAGTAAAGTACAATCGATTACCTTCACTCCTTATATGTATTATATAGGACTAGATTCAATCTCTTCGGATCCGATATCGAAATGTGTCCTCCAAATTATCGTATGGATTAAATTACCTGATGAAACCAGTCTGTTTACCCGTAATTTACTTCTACTTGCCCTAATTTTTTATTTAAAGATGCTATTCTTAGTACGAGACATTTTCATTTTTGTTCTGTAATAGTTCTCTTAGTATTTTACTTGTAGATATTCCATGTTCTATATTATTGCGTGCAACTGAAACTGAAGAGATAACATAAATCTATATCCATTTGATATTAAATTCTTCATGGCAACCACTTTATAGTTTTCTTCTTGCATTTCCTTTCTTTAATCATGCCTTCAGACGACGTCGTATTTTATGGAACCAAGGTGCTTGGCTGTTTAAATGATTTAAAAATTTCCTACAAATTCATTTCATCAAGGAGATGATGCTGTACTTGTTTCCAATTTTTAACGCGTTCCTTGTATCACTTTTCATTTGTCTCATTTGTTTCTCTCTTTCTATTGGCAACTTTTTTTCTGGACAGGAACCAACGCCCACATTTTACATTTCCTTGACTTTTTCTTGTAGGTGGTGGTCTACAGAAACCATTGCTGTGGTTACCGGTGGTAATAGAGGAATTGGATTTGAGATTTCAAGACAATTTGCAATGCATGGGTTGACCGTCATCTTGACATCAAGAGATGTTTCTGTTGGCCTTGAAGCAGCTAAGGTCTTACAGGAAGGTGGTCTGAATGTTGACTTTCATCAACTGGATGTCTTGGATGCTTTATCCATCAAACAGTTTGCTGATTGGCTGCTACAAAACTATGGTGGCTTGGATATTCTGGCAAGTTAATTTTTGCACTGAACTTTTCTTTGTATTGATTTTTCGAATTGGCTAAAAAGAAGAGCACGTATATTTTGTGCAGTGTGATCCAACTTTGACAAGCAACATGCTGAATGCTAACTATATATTGAAATCAACAAAAGCAATAGTGCTGAAAATATTCAAGAACATGATAATTATTGTTGCTACAGATTTTGGTGACATAATTTTCAAATGCCCCAACTACGTGCAAATATTTTTGCAGATAAATAATGCTGGAGTAAATTTCAATCTTGGGTCTAGCAATTCTGTAGAGTTTGCTCAGATGGTCATTTCTACCAACTATTTTGGCACCAAAAATATGATACAAGCAATGATTCCCTTGATGAAACCGTCAGCTGCTGGTGCTCGCATTGTTAATGTCAGCTCAAGGTTGGGCAAGCTGAATGGCAGGCGGAATGTAAGTTGAAATTCTTCCTGTTTTACCTGAAGTTCTTGTCTTCTCTATATCATGGGTGGATTGAGTACATTTAATATAATGAATTAGGGGTGTTGATGGGTTGAGTTAGCTTGGATTGAAGTACTTTTTAGGCTCAACTTAATTGTATGTTTGGGATGTAAATTTATTCAACAATCCTTATTAAATAATGAATGCATCTGAAATATTTGGGTTTTTTGGTTCAGGTTATTTGGGTCACTCATTCATAAATATTTATTTACATATTTTCTAACATTGAATCAAGATCCGTATGGTGAAAAATTACCATCCAAAAGCCCCCAAGGAGCTGTCTCGTTCTCTGTTGGCAAGGGCTTGAGGTCTCTTTGTCGTACTGGTTTAGAGGTCTCGAGTTTCAACCTCCTTGATCCTTGAGGTGAGTGCAGGTCCCCGGGGATAGGGGAGCAAAACACCGATTCCCAATTATAAATATATATATATATATATATATATATATATATATATATATATATATATTTACAATCCAAAAACTTAAAAAAGTTATTTTTTATAGTTGTTGGATAACAAATAATGCATAAAGGATTGTTGAATGAAATAAAATTAAAATAAATATAACCATATAAAATTGTATGGTAAGTAAAAGAAATAATTTCAAAATTAGTAATAAGTCTAGTTTGGTTTGGTTTCATTCAACTCAAATTTATTTTAGGTAAACCTTTGAACCAACCTAACTATATAGAGTTTTAATTCATTTGAAACCAACTCAACTCAAATTGTCTGTATTAGGTTGGATTGATCGCGTTTTATTTACCATCCCTGTTTGAATAATTATATCTTGTTTTGTCTAAATATTGAAATATAGGCATTCGCTATGATTGTTGATGGTATTATGCACTCAAAGAGATTGTTCTTTCTCCTTTATGTGGATTGACGATCGTCCACTTGCATTTTATATTGTTCCTTTTTTTTCTCTTTTTTTTTTTTGTACTTCTTTGGGGGAGAGTGTGGGGGTGGAGGTGTCTGATCTGCTGCTCCCTAGTTTCAACGCCCCCTACAAGAAATAATGTTAGATGATATTATTTTGAGCAAGGTTAGTTGTTGGGTTGGTGCTAACAGCCAATGCATTCTCAATTGTGATAATGACTGCAAATCATATGTTTTTAAATAATATCATGATAGTTTTTCACGCTCATCTTTCCTCCATGCTAATTTATGGTTTAATTACAGAGACTGGAAAATGTAGCAGTTAGAGAACTACTTAGCAATTTGGATACACTCTCAGAGGAAGTAATTGATAGGTTCGTGTCTACCTTTTTGCAACAAGTTGAAGATGGAAGTTGGGAAACTGGCGGGTGGCCTCAGTCGTTGACTGACTACTCTGTATCAAAACTTGCAGTTAATGCGTACACTAGGTTAATGGCAAAAATATTCACTGACCGACCCGAGGGTCATAAGATTTATGTGAACTGCTACTGCCCTGGTTGGGTGAAAACTCCTATGACAGGATTCGCTGGGAATGTTTCAGCTGAGGAAGGGGCTGACACTGGTGTATGGCTTACCTTACTTCCAGATCAGGCAGTAACAGGTAAATTTTTTGCTGAGCGACGGGAGATAAGCTTCTGAGGGAATTGGGCTGAAGATCAAATTACCCAGCAAGTATGAAAGAGAAGACAATCCAAGAATTTTGAAGTTTGTAAAATCGACTGTGCTTTCAGAGGTAGAAACTGTATCGCTGAAATGGAGGTGGACATGTTAAACAACCCGAGATTTTTATTATGGGAAGCCTCGAGCATTTCCATGATCGAATCTTCAGCACTCAACGGTGGTATGCCAATTACTAGCTTTCAAGCAATAATTTTGTCACTAGTTAAATACCCGCCACGAGAATAAGTGAGGTAAGACCAAAAATATGTTTGGCCAGGAATTTCAGACCATGTAAATTAGTTGCTCTTTGTATTAATTTCTTAGAAGTGCGGTCGAAATGTAGTTCTTGTTTCAAAAAACATATCTGACAGATTGCTTGATATTTCCGGGCCTCTGTTTGGGACATGATATCTTGGCGCAATTAAAAGATTTATCTTAGCAGGCGTAACAAATCAACTTTTATGCATGAAGTATAAGACACTAGAAAGAGGCAAAAAATGGTTGTGATGAACTCTCGTGACCCTAACCCTTAATATTTGCTGTAATGTGAGCTGGTATTGTTTTTTATGGTTGCATGATGGTTTGATAAGGAACTGAATTCAGTTGATTTGGTATGGTGGATTATATTTAGGATGAATTATTGCTTTAGTCCTATCATAATTGTTTGATTTCAATTTGACCCTTGCAATTTAAAATTTTCAATTTAGTTTGTTCTTTAGGTGTGTGAGTTGACTTTTAAATTACATGGAAAAGGGAGCGTAGTTTTTACATAAAAGTTGCAATACATATCTTTTTGTTCACTATGAGGCATAAACTATTAGAACAAAATGGTGAAAAATGGGGCCGTACTTCTCGTCCATCTGCATCTACACACCTTTTCCCTCCAAAACTTCAGTATAATGATTCCACATGAAAGAGTGAGTATGAAATCTTTTTGGGTGCTCAACATTGAGTATGAAATCTTTTTGGGGTGCTCAACATTAAAAAACAAAGGACAAATTGCAAAAACCGCCCCTGAAGTATGTGGTTGTTACAATTATACCATAAAACTTTCAATCGTAAAAATTAAATCCTTGAACTTTTATAAATGAAAAAATTAAAACCTCAAACTTTCAATAGTAAAAATTAAACCCCTAAACTTTCAAATATGATAAAATTGTACCCTCCAAATTAAAATTAAACCCTAAATTTTTTTTAAAATGGTCCTTTTTTTACAATTTCATCCATATCATGTACCGAAAATATTCTCATCTTCATTGATTTTGTAGACAATTTTTATAAAGCTTTTTTCCTCGGGACTTGCCGAGAAATATGGGAAGAGTGTTGCTCAAATTGCTCTTAGAGACGTCGAAGCCCGAGAGATTGCTCAAAGTTTCTAAGTTTAAGCTCACAAAGACATGAATAATTCCATCGGTGGAATTGACATGAAATACCAAACGTCCCGCCAAGTTTTCGGGCATAGATTTGTACGCATAGGTAACTAATAAATCTGATACTTTTCAAGATATGTGTTGAAAATTGAAATGGAAAATAATGTCCACTATTTTGTTAATTCTCTCACAAGTTAATGAATGATGGAACATATTCCCATTTGTAAACTATTGCTCTGAATTTAAAAATTGTCAAATAGATACAATTTTTCAAAATTTTAGATTTTACGATTTTTGAATTAGAGGGTGCAATTTTATCACATGTGAAAGTTAAGGGATTTAATTTTTACTATTGAAAGTTTGAGGGTTTAATTTTTTCATTTATAAAAGCTCGAGAGTTTAATTTTTACAATTGAAAGTTTAAGGGTGAAATTGTAACAACGACCATACTTCAGGGTGGTTTTTGCAATTTGAAAAAAAAAAAGTTCATATTGGGTTTAATCTTATTCATTTTTGTGATAAAAAAATCATTTTTTATTATTATTTTGTTTATTTTTACTTATTTTAACTTTTCACATTAAATTGATTTTGATTATTGGGATGATTGGACTAACAGCTATTCGTGATATTTTAGCTGATATTCATATTCCTGAAATTTTGCAACTTTTTTTTCTCTCTTGTTATTATTTTTAGTTGAAAAAATGTGAGGATGGAAGTTCACGTTGGCTCTAATTATTAATATATTGATAATTGTCTACAACTCAAAGAAAATATATTATTAAATATTATATTTTACTGCTTTAAATGATATGATTCAAATAAGATTTTGTTAAAGTTATAGACTTATTTTATCTTCGTTAAAATTAAAACATATAAAATATAATTTATGGTAAAATAATAAATATACAAAATTCATAAAAATTATCAATAAATTAATTGATATAACTTTAGATTAAACAAAATATTTAGGGCCCGTATAACCATTTCGTTTTTTTTTTTGGTTTTTAGTTTTTAAAAAACATAGTTGTTTTTTATTTTTAAAAATCATTTTGAAATTCTATGTAAATTTTGAAAACGAAAAAAATAGTTTTCAAAGACAAGTTTTTATTTTTCAAAATTTGATTTTTTTTTCTAATATTCAACTTTTTTTTTCTTTCTCGTATTTATCACTAAAAAATTTATTTCTCACTTTAAAATTTTTTTATTTCTAAAATTTCTCTCTATAAACTTTATTTTTTTCTCTCTAAAATTTTCATATTTTTAATAATTATTATTCGTCCATCTCCAAATTTTTATGTATTTTTGTTTATTTTTTCTCTCTAAAATTTTCATATTTTTAATAATTATTATTCGTCCATCTCCAAATTTTTATGTATTTTTGTTTTTTTCTAACAGACCAGTTTCATTTTTCTCTCTAAAAATTTAATATTTTTCTTAACTTTTTTCTCTTTAAAATTTCATATTTTATAACTTTTCTTTCTCTTCGTAATCTATTTATTCCTTTGAAAATTATATTTTCTTTTCTCGTTCAATTTTTTTAACTGGAACTTTTATTTATCTTTTGATTTATTTATTTTCTCTAAAAATTATATTTTGAATCTTGTTTTTATTTCTAAATTGCTTTCACGATAATTTTTCTCTTTCTTTATAATTTCCTTTTTTTCTTTAACATATATTTTCCTCTTGACTTTATTCTTTTTTCTCTAAAATTTTTCTGTCTGTCTTTTAACTATTTTTTTTTCTAAATCTTTTTATTTATCTTTCTAAACTTTAACTTCTATAAGTTTATTTACATCTCTCTAAACTTGGATTTTCACGTCTCTACGTTATTCGGAAGATAAAAATTTTCGCAGGGTCGAGTCCCAAAAATAGGAAATGCATGTCCCGATCTCGTCCCCGTCCCTGATTCCATTTTTTAAATAATTAATATATATTTATTACACTTTTTTATACTTAAATTATAAAAATAATTAAAAACAATTATAAAACCACATCTTTCATACCCAAGAACGAGGTGGAGATGGAGACTAAAAATTTTCACGAGCACGAGAATGGTGGAGAACATCCTCACTTGCCCCTAAATCCTATAAGTACATACCAATTGAAGCAGGTAAAGTAGTTCTCAAGTACAAGGGACCTGCAAAAGACTAAGTGCACCCACACCATTGTCATCTCTACATACATGAAATTCTCTCTTTTCAATTTTCTAACTTAAAAAAAAAAACTAAAAATGGTTACCAAACATTGGTTTTTTGTTTTTAAAAACAAAAAACAAAAAGTGCTATCAAACATGTATGGAAAAATAAAAAACTAAAAACCAAAAACTAAAAACAAAGAAAAACCAAAAACCAAAAAATAAAATGGTTATCAAACGACCCTTTAGTTTGTAATTACTTCTTACTAAACACACATTTTCAGATTCAATTACCAAATATGTACAATTCTGATTTTTATTGAATCCCTTATTTTCATATTTATTTTTTCGCATTACTAACCAAACAAATCCTAAATCATTCCATGCTTGAATCTCACAATTGGTTTGATCACACATATAAATTAGAATATGTAGAATAAGTGAGTGATCAAAATATTTATGCTAATTTTGGAGCCATCTGACGTATCATTACCGATCTTAGTTCTTCGTAAAATAACTTCTACCCATAAATATAATTCCATATGATTTAGTGAATTAAGGGTAAAGAAGCAACATGGGTCAACTGTTCGAGTTGTACCAGACTCTAGCTAATTTAAACCCGATCGAATCAGTTCTCCTGTACCAATCAATGGGCGTGAGGGTACGCTTTCATAACCTTATTTTTTTACTTCTCTCAACGAAACCCTTTTCTAATTTACACATCAAAGTATGTTGGACTTAACACCACATTGGTGTGTAGATTTTTTTTTATGTACAAGTGTTCGTTAGAACTATCGACACCAGAGACGAGAACCAAATTCCTACCTCAATCAAATTTCTACATCAATCAACACCCCCAGACGGCGTATTTTTTTGAAACGAGGCCTCTGTAACGCGACATAAAGACTCCTTATTTTATTTAAATTTTATAAAATGTAGGTAGAAGGTGGTAACAAGACTAAATACATCACACTCGGGGCATATGAAATTAAAAACTGAATTTGGAGATTTAGATATTAAAATTGTGCTGGTTGTGCTTAAAATGCAAGACAAAAAAAAAAGAAAAAAAAACTCTATTACTCATTAGCAAAATTGCTACATTATTTTTTCTATTGGGATAAATAGGAGAAGACATTAGCCAAGTGAGTTGAAGAGAAAAGTTTTTATGCTCTAGACGACACTAATAATAAGGTATATCAATGTTATTAATTTCTTCACTAGTAAAACAAATGAGCAACAAAGTTATATATTCAGGTATATCGATGACTTTCTTTTACGTGGATACAGCTAAATTTTGGCATTTTTAAAAAATTGAAAATTAGTTGCTACTCTTGCAAATTCCAATTAATTTACCCACACCTGCCAGTTTTGACATGGCATAAGAGTTGGGTGCCTTGGGCTCTTGGAGTGGTGTCTGGGCCGCTCCTTTTCAGTTTTAACGAAAATGATTTCTGGACCGCTCTCTCTCTCTTTGCCTTCGCGTCTTTTTTTATTATCTAGAAATTTCTCTCTGTTGTCTTTTTTGTTTGAGGTCTACTGGTGGTGCGATCGTTACTGTGATCAATTTGCGGTCGTTTTCTGGGTTCAAGCGGTGCGTTTCTCCTTTGAAGTCGTTTTTTTTCCCTCTCACGTCTCTGCGATCAATTCGGTCTGCTGTCTGCTGTCTGCTGGTGTTGGTGGGATCTTCTTGGAGTCGTTTGGTACGATTGCGATTGAAATTTCTGATTTGCAGTTTTTTGGGTCGTGTTCTGGTGTGCGTTGTTTTATAAGTATTTGTCTTTTTTGGTAAAGTTGATTTTCGTCCTATCGCTGTAATCATCTTGAAGAGGAGAATGGCGACTTTTATAAGGGCTATGATCAAAGCTCATCGAGTTCTATACATGGAAACCCCCGCCATTTTGAGAAGGAAAACAATGCCCTTCATGTCTGGCGCTTTTATTGGGTTGGAGAACCTGCAAACCCGATTAACTGATCATTATCAGAGTCAACATGGTTCTTTTTTTAGTTTCCGTAGCTCTTCTACAAATAAAAATCCTCTTCCGACAGACATCGATCTCTCAAATGAAGAAAGCAAGAGGCGCTTGTTCAATAGGTTCATCCTCGGTTATTTTGTCCATTATCTTTCACATCTCTCTCGCTCTCTCTCTCGATTATTGGCATTTGACTAGTCAATTTTTGTCGTTCGCTTTAACAGGCTGCTGTACCGGAGTAGACAACGAGGGCTTCTGGAATTGGATCTGATACTTGGGAAATGGGTAGAGGACCACATCAAATCTATGGATGCAGATGGTATCAAAGCCTTGATTAGTGTTCTTGACCTGGTATTTTTTTCTTGAATCTTCTACCTATTTGTGGAGTGATTTTCTTTACTTTTAGTCCATGGCTGCACTGCTCCTGTCACTTCTTCAAGTGATCGAATGCCCTATTCCCTTGGGGATTTAAAATACCACTGGAAGTTCATTGTTCTGAGTATCGGTGGTGAATTTTCAATTCTCTTGCAATGGATTTTGCGACACATTCTGTCCAATATTAAGTAGAAAAAGGCAGCTGTCCCGACGGTAATCCTAACATGGATCTCTTTTCAGTTTTGTGGGTTGTCTAGCTAAAAGGGTACAAGTGAGTGTGTCTGAGTAGAAATAGTTCATGGAAGGACATATGGAATTCAGCGCCATTTTGACGTTTCTCTTTGGACTCTCACAAACTTATTTTGTACTCATTCTATATTTTTTTGTTTACCAAAAATTTGTGTGGTGCTTTTTTTTTGGTAACTGTTGTGAATGGCATTCTTTCCCTTTGTGCTTTGTGCTTTGTTCCTTCATCTTCATTATGAGAGTTGGTTTGCATTGGATAAAAGAAAAATAAAGAGGAGGAAAGATACAGATGTGTGCATGAGAGGGTAGATTGATTACTCCAGTGGTTAAAGGTTATTTTAGTATTCGATGCATGCACATAATATGATTGCTTTGCTGATCAAAAGTAAAATTGAAAAATGTTCTCATTTTTGTCTCTTTTTTCCCTGTATCCCAATTATTGACTCTTTTTTCGCTTCAACAAGAAATTTAGTGCGAGATGTCCTCACAGACCAATGGACCATCCTTGAAGTTCCTTATTGGAGGAGCGCTTTGAAAAGAAGTGGAAATTTGATAAATAGCTCTTAAAGAGACCATATTTGAAGGAGGGTTGATCTTGGCAAGGAGTAGTCCTTACCAAAGAGAGAAGATAGGAGATGATTAGGAGGAATAGAAGTAGGGATTATGTTAGAGTAATTACTTCTGGATAGTGACATAAAGAAGTTTTGATTTCATTTGCTTTGTTGCAATAGAAAGAAATCTTAATATGTATTCCAATAAAATGAAGATAATAGAAATTACTACAAATATATTTGATCGTACATCTGTTCTTTAGGAAAATCCAGATTTGTGGAAGTGGTTGACTGGCCAGGAGAAACCCCCTGAAGCAGTGAAAACAAATCCTGTGAGACATCTAAGTGTGGCACTCCTGTTTTCCTTTTGTCTTTCAACTAAAGATGTGATTTACAATTGGAGTATTTGTCTTTGTAGGTATTTGCTGCTGTGCAAGAGAAGGTCGTGAACAATCTCAACAGACATGCCGCTCCTGAGACAAGGACGCCACCTGGGCAACAATGGGTAAGGGGTTGGGATGATTTCAAGAGTGGTCGGGATAGCCCCATAGCAGGAAACCAGTAGTTCTTTGGTCAAATGTTATGAATAAATCTATCTTAACTATTTAAGAATACAAATGAAAGCCAGTTCTCAGGGCTGTATGTTATGGTGGTGGGTAGTGATTTTGAGCCATAAGTTATCTATCAAGGTCTTTTAAAGTGCTCCAGCATAGCTTGTATTTCTTATAGTTTGTATTGATGCTATAAATCAATGGGACCATTGCTGCTTAAACAATACATTTTAGCTTGTTTTTCTCTTGGAAGTTTTGTAGGGCATTTTTTCTTTAAAATTGGAAGATATAGTTCTTGACGTCTCTTAGTTATTGGAGGAGAGTAAGTTGGTGGGCGCTAGAGAATTTAGATTGAGTGGAATGATATGTAAATTGTGAAAGAGAGATAATGAATGTCGAATGAGTTATAAGTTGGATGACAGTCTGTCAATCTAAATAGATCATAATTTTTAGTAGTTCAGCAGTAAAAACGGTAACGTATTTCCAAATTTTCAGGCATCCCGAGAGTTCACGCGATCTTGTCAGTTACTTGCACAAAATCAACAAAATTTAGATGCATTAAGGTGAAGTGGTGTTATCACACATGATTAAACAACCTTCCTTTCTAACTAGTTTTCCAACATAATTATAACCTTACATCCAACGATTTACCGAACACACGTGCAATGATGCAAATTGTGATATACAAATCCAATGTACACCTCACAAAGATACCACCTTCAAGTAACAGACTCGTCAGGGGTTACAAGGGCAGACTATATTCCGTACCCCCCTCCTCAGAAGAAAAAGAAAAAAAAGGGGGGATTTTACCAGGGTTTCAGGTCACCCACGGGACCTGCGGTCCAATTTAGAATCTTCTCACCGGGCTTGAGGTAGACACTGCTGTCATGAGGCAACTTACGGGCAAGTCCATTGAGGACCTGGTGAAACGCATCTCCTGGTTGAGCAGGCTGCGGGAATAACATTGCTTGTTTCATGGAAGGATTTGCAAGTAGTCTCTGCTTTCTTAATACCATTTCAAGTGGGATGGACGTTAATATTGTGTCCAAGTTAGCAACATCTTTCTCATCTATAAACACTCCAATTTCTTCCCAAGGAATTGCATCTGCGAAGGGCAGCACAATCTCATCTGCTATTATAACAGGGATGCAACCAAATATCACAGCCTCAACCAATCTAGGACTCCAAGGAGCCCATCCAAGCGGGCACAGACAAAACACACCTCGCTGCATATCCTCGTAGTATGTACTTGGGTGCTCTGTTGATATATCAAAAAGAGGATTATCCTTAAAGTTCTCCCACACTGCAGCTCTTGCACCTCTGTTACATTGTCAAATAAAGTTGGGACTCGGATTAGCGAAAAATGCCGTCAAACCTGCTTCTATTTCATCTTCATCTTCAACTAAAACCCATATTATTAGACTCAAGAGTGATATCGCATTTAGGCTTAATTACTAACTCAAATGTTAAATTTTCAAAGCATAGATACAAAAACAAAATCAAACAAACACCGAACGTGGATACCAATCATAGATACATACTAAGGTGTTGATTGAGTTTAGTTTTTAGAAAGAAAAAAAAAACTGTTTGGTAGATTAAGGAGCTGCTTAGATGTATTTTTTAAGAACTGTTTTCCAACTAATCTTGTAAAATTATCTTCTATTCTTTCTAAATTTAAAACTATTCGGTAGCTTTCTATTCTTCTCACTTTAAAAATACTGAATAATTATAACCAAACAATTAACTAAGTAAACATTAAAAAGAAATGTTAAAACACCAAAATATTATTTATATTTTATGCTTTCTTTTTGCAATTAAAAATTTCTTAGAACTACTAAGTAAAACGAATTTTCTACATAAAACAACTGGTTTTTACTTTTAAATATTTAAAACAGCTTGCCCTAGCCTTCTAAAAATGCATATTGTTTATAATTTTAGAACATATTTTGAAAAATATATTGGTTATAGTATTAATTTAAAAATATAAGACATTAAAATATTTCAGACTTAAAATTTAAAAAATAATTAACGATTATAGATGAACAGTAAATTAAACAAAAAAAGAAAGAGAAACATAAACATAGCCAAACATTAATTTTGTTTTCTGCTAGTTTTTGTTTAAAAATGAAATTTCCCTACCAAACAAGATTTTTACATCAATTCTTTAGAAATAGAAAACAGTTTCTGAATATGACTACCAATTCCAAAAACCTAACCTACCTTACGTAATAAACACCTGGTTAAGGTTAACCATGAACTTTGATAGCAAAGCACAAGCACGTGCATTTTGAAAAGAAGGCTTATTAGAAATACCTTGCGTAATAACCACCTTCTGGATCATTTCCAACATCATAGAATAGTCCACGAAAGTAAACAAAGATGGACCTAGGAGTTTTTTCAGGAATGAGGTGGGCGTGCATTTTCTGAGGAGGAGCGTACGGAGGAATTGTAATTGATCCCTCCTTTAAGCAAACATGATTTCGTTGTCCGAAAGTCTGAACCAAGGTAGCACGTTGCAGCAATGGAAGGATTCCTCTTTCAATTGCCTTCTCTTCCTGCAAGAGTCTAATATGTCAAAAAAAAAAAAAACAACAGCTAGCAAAGGGGGTGGAAAAGAAGGAAAGGAGGAGCGAAAATTGGAAATTTTGAAAAACACATGGATCTTATTCAAAGAAGTAATCGGGCCATTGCAAGAGGAGATATTAATAGTTTTTGCTTTTACTTGATAGTGGAAGCAAGCTCCGAAATCATGAGGCACAACAAAAAAGTGATCAGCCCCTTCTGTTCGGTTCCAATAGGGCCAGTTTGAAGAAATAAGTTGTATTGCACTTCTCATCATTCGAGGTGACTTAAACGGTAAAGGAAGACCATTTGGAGTCAGGTCGCAAGTCGTATAAACTGGAGTATAAAACCAATCGGCTTCTTCGGGGTTAAGGGTCCGAACCGGACTAGTTAAAAGAAAGCGATGCATAAAGATCTCAGCTGCAAACATGTGATTAAGGCATCTTGGGTCTTTCTGCAGAATTTTCTTGTTGTATTTGCTAGGGAGCTCGTACACAAACACTTTCAACCTTCCCACTGGATTATCCTCCAAAACATCTCCAGCACTGCCTACATTGACGTAACCAAACATAGCAACTTCAAAACTTCCATGCGAAATAGAACTCTAAAGAGTAACGAGTGAAGACTGATTTATAGTTCTTTACAGATCAATTCCAACATAGAAAGTAGTAGGTTACATTTCATGAATACAAATGAGATCTTGATTTTTTGAGATCTAGGCAACTAAGACAAGACTGTTATTTATGATTTTCCCTGGACTTAATTCTAGAATATTCATATGTACCTGTTCTAAGAAGACTAGGGCTTTACCAAACATGCTTGGTTCTCAAAAATTGGAAACAGAAACTCAAAAGAGAAACATTATTCAATAAGCATGGACGTTCAACATCTGGAGAGAAGAATTAGCAATCAAACACATCAGTTAAAACTTAATGCTACCATTTCACTTAGCCATTTTGTGATACAATAATGGTAAATATCAGATTCTTATTCTTTTAAACGGGAAAAGAAAACATCACATTCTTAAAGACAGAAAGAGTTGACTATCCATTTCTCCTATACTTCTATTCCTGTAACGGGCCTAAAAGATGATAAATACAAGAATATTCTAATATGATTCTATTAGCTTCAAATTTTATCTCTTAGATTTTTGTTTGAATCTTCAATTAGTTTTAAGGATTATTTTAGATGAGCTAGAATCATATTCAAATTATAAAATTAAAGAAATAATAATAAAACTTTGTATCCTTGATGCCTAAGACTTGAAATTCCCTGTTTCTAATTGGATTCCCAAGTCTACTTTAAGCTAATAGGTATTCTAATTGGGTTAGGTCTAGTTTTCTTGAATAAAACCATGGTAAAACTTTTCCAACGAAATACAACTATTATCAGTTTTCTAACAAATAGTTTTTGTATTAAAGGTTGATAGACTCAAGTACAAAATCCTAGAAGGGTTCTGAGTTCTTCTTCTTCTTTTCAATACAAAAAAACACCCTTAAAACTATCAAAGGGCTCGTCTTACTGCACATTGACTAATACCATAGAATAACTGCCAAATCGTATAGCATATGGCAGAGGGAGAACATATGGTGTTGAAGTTGATTCCGCGATCCTGTCATTTTCTTTCATTTTTATCCCAGAGTAGCACCAATAATCTAATTTCAGATTCCAACAAACCTTAATAAAAGACGTTAACCGTATTCCTGTCAAATTATCTTTCATTCTATCATGCCTCAACTAAGTCATTTGCGCTTAAAACTTGCTACTTTATACCATATACTAGTCTCCTCATTAACGAGTCCAATAGTCGGAAGTGTATATAGCGCATCCCTTCTCAAAATAAGAAGAAAATTACGCAGAGAGAGAGGGGCTTGGACATCAAGGCCGGTTTCCGCCAAGCTGCCAGACCCTCGGGTATAACTCTCTTATCTTCTTGATTGTATGTTTACGATCTTACTACTCATATTTCGTCAACAAAAATTCAATCAAGATCAAGAACTTACGCATAACTGTGTTATTCTATCCTTTTAAACAAGGATCTCCAAAAATCGAACAAGAACCAGCTAAAATACCCAGAAACATGGAAGTTGGTCCCAAAAGGCAAGGATTTCTTTTTCTTTTTTTCTTTACTATATATATATTTTTTGGTTGTATTGGTCAATCATATCGCGGAGCAATTGGCCGATATCTAATGACAAATTAATAAATCAGAGCTTAGCACCGCAAAAGCACCGGAAGAGACCACAAGAAAAGGAACTAGAACTGCAGATCAGAAAGAAGGACAACAAACGAAGAAAGAGAATCAAACAAACGCATAAAAGACCGAGTATAAAATTTGTAAAAGAGCGAAGTCATGAAATCACACCTGAAATTCGTTCTGTGTGTTGACTCCTTTCGCGCACGACTGCATCTGTTGTGGTTACGAAGGCAGCCAACAGAGGAACGAAGATAGCCCAGCTCAGAATATTCATTTTTGCAAAGAGACCAAGTATAATGTAAGAGGCGTAAATGGATAAATGTAGACCAAAGTAAAAAATAAGTAGGAAAGTGTAAGCGTTAAGGAAGAAGACGAGTTCTGAGTAGCAGTTGGGGAAATCCTTTTAGAGCAGATAAGCTGGACAATAACGATTCTTGTGGACTGTGAACACAGACTTCATGTAGAAATTAGATCGTGGATTACTTCTAACTTCTAAGGAACGTTTGAATTGGTTATTGGCAGCAAGAATTGGGTTCCAAATTAAACGACTGAAGAAGGATTTCATCGGCGTCCGCCCGTAGGTCTGCATCCCGAACCCGAAAGCAGATACCCGCACCCGACCCACCTCCAACTTCCATCCATGATCCAAGTGCCTTTTCTCAAAAAGAAATTAGAAATATATGTATTGCCCGCGGGCTATTAAATATCTGTGTCGACATTTTTCACATGTCCATATATTCATGAATTATATATGAATTTGATATCAATTCGAGGAGTAAATCGAGATTTCTATAATATTGCAAAAAATCGACAAATTGATAATTATCATTTCAAAAAAAATCACAGTAATATTTTTATCAAAATATTAGCGTAATAAAAAATTCATAAATGATTACATAAAACATAAAATTTTATTGGATTATTTTAACTAGTAAATGATACTTAAAGTTATAATTCAAAATACAATCCACCATTTATAATATCATATTTAAACAAGTATGAAATGCTTGTTACATAATTGAAAAAATATATGAAATATGTCTAGAATGTTTAATAACTCGTGATAATGATGTCAATCCAAATATAACTCGATGGATAAGTCATTTATATCATCCAAAATGTTGATAGACAAGGAGAAATGTGATTTGCGGCTAAAATATTCTAAAGTTGAGGATTTCAAATTTTATCCTTAAATAAATACTTTTTTTTTTCTTTTTACTTTTAAGGTTAGTTAAAATACTATTTTTATGAATTTACTATTTTACTTCCTGCTCTAGTTCATTTTGATTCTTATATTAAGGTTTATGCTCTAAAATATTATAATTAGTCAATTTTTTTTAAAAATTATTTGATTATCTAAAGTTAAAAGTGCAAAATATTAACCGTATGCGGTTGACATACATGATTGGTTGTCTTATTTTGATAACATAGTTCAATTATATTTTGTGAAAGTTACGAATGATTTGATTATAGTCGTTCATGTGAAGACATGTGGTATCATACTCAATGAGTTTGTATAAGAATGAACCACAAAATATTATATATTTCTTTGTAAATCTATTAAAAGAGAAATATTAGTATTTCACTATATAATCATATGTTACTACTCGATCTTAATCTTAAGTAAGTTAAGAACTCCTACTTGTGAGACCCATATTCTTTGATTTACATAGTTCAGCGGGACCTTTGTAACTGATTCAATAATCCTATTATTTGAGGACATAGTCGAACAGAGAGCTCGGAATACAATTTCACAAGATATAATTTACTCATTCAAATTATAGGAAGTAGACAAATAGTTCCTTTAAGTTTTGATTTTATTTACTTTAACAATAACGAGGTTCACCTTTTCATTGACCCGAGAATAACTTACTTTATAGTTGAATCATAAATAAATTGTTTATTAAAGGATCGATGATACATAAGATAATGTCAGATGTAGTTACAGACGTAAAACGAACTTTTGACCAAACTGTAAATATAAACAACTCGGTTGTATGTAGTGATTATATAAATTTACATATCCAATACTACATTACATAAAGTGCAATTTCTTGTTTACAGTAGAATAATGTTGGGTTATTGAGTTTACTAAATTAATTTTGTATCCAGTTTATAATCTGTAGGTGCCCATAAGATTCCTTTCTAGTTCATAAAATTATTGACGGATCAATTATTATGTTGACAGAGAAATAAAATTTTGAAATATTCAAATATGTATTTGATGTATTAGATATATTAAAAAGAGACTAATGTATTTTATATTAGTATATATATGAGAAAATACATGTTAGATATATTAATAAAAATATTAATTTAAATCAAAGCGAGCATAGTTCAGCGGTAATTGACATATGATACGTCATACCTTGATCAAGTTTGACTTCAATCTATTTTACGGCATAAATATGCCACTACAACAAAACGGGTCTTTAATGTCAGTTCCGAACTGACATCAGAGACATTGATGTCGGTTTAGCAACCGACATTGAATCACGTGTCATCGTAGCTAACGATGTCAACTAATCAATAATGTCAGTTGTGAATGGACATTAATATAACCGACATTGTAGTTTTACAATGTCGGTTATATTAATGTCGGTTCACAACTGATATGGAATTACGTGTCATCGTAGGGTACAATGTCGGTTGATGTAAGATGGCGGTTCCTAACTGACATGTCTATTCAAGCAATGTCAGTCATTATCTGACATTGCAATTACCGACATTGTTCTTTCGTAACTGACATTGTTTATATTTAATATTAATGCATATATTCTAAGATGGCGAATCCATCTTTCGTTTTCCCAGAAATATCAAGTAGTGTGCCAATGATATTTGTGCATACATTTTTTCGATGTGCACTACATCCAGACAATGTCGTACATGAAGATTTTTCCAATAATCTAAATAAAAAAAATTGATTTCTTCTTCCAATAACTGCTCGAAAGATCTTCTGATTTACTTCCCTTTTTATTACTTTTACCTAATATGGTTTGAAATTCACTTGTTCTTGTCAAAATTTATTCTCCACTTAAAAGTTTATTCTAGTGCTAGTTTAAATTCTTGTTCGCCGTTGAAAGTTTTCTTCTCGTTTCTATATGGATGGTATCGGGGTAAAAAGCGACGATGTCCGAGGTATGCTATCTTTTTTCTATGTTTCAATCGAATAGATGATGTTTTTTTTCCCACAAATGGGACATGTATGATATCCCTTTACACTGCAACCACATAAATTTCCATATGCTGGGAAATCGTTTATGGTCCGCATTAAAATAGCTTTTAACACAACAGTTTGATCTCAATACGCGTCATAACATGAAACTCCCTCAATCCAAAGTTTTTTTAGATCATCAACCAATAGACCTAGGTATACATCTATATCATTTCTAGGTTGTTTGAGACCAGATATTAATGTAGTTAACATCATAAACTTTCGTTTTATGCACAACCATGGTGGGAGTTTATAAATAACCAATATAACTGGCCAACAACTATACCTACTACTAAGATCACCATGTGGATTGATTCCGCCAGTAAATAAAGCTAAACGAAGATTTCTTGGCTCAAAACCAAACTCCGACCAAAGGTTGTCTATTAATTTCCAAGATGGAGAGTACATGGGGTGTCTCAAAAGCCCATCATTTTCTCCTCCTCTATCATGTCAAGCTAACAATTTAGATATTTCGGTAGTTCGAAACATTTTTTGGAACCGAGGAATAAGAGAAAAGTACCACATAACCTTAGCCGGAATACCTTTTTCTCTTCATTGGAGTCCTTACGAAGCTTCCATCTCAATGTTTTGCAAACTGGACATTTATTTTCCTCATAAAGGTCTTTCCCAAATAGGCAACAATCGTTGATACAAGCATGAATTTTCTCAAACTTCATTCCAAAAATACCCTGTCTTTTTGGCTTTATACGTAGAAGTTGAGATTTCATTCGGTTGTGGTTAACAATTCAGTAAAACTTCTATCACTTCATTCGTATTTAGCTTTTATGTTGTATAATTTAAGCAATGCAAATATTTTAGTGAAATTTTTATTGCCTGAGTACAATGATTTTTGTGCATCACCCAATAGTTGGTCAAAGTTTTCAGAATTCTTATTTGTAAAATAGTATTGTGCAGCTTCAAACATCTCAAAATATTGTGTTGGATGAATGATATGACAAAAGTAGGAGTCCCTTATAATAAAAGTAAGAATACTCTCAAAGCGAACATAGCTCAACGGTAATTGACATGTAACTTTAACCAAGAGGTTATGGAAAAAGTAAGAATACTGATTAAAAAAAATTAAATTTAACCTAGAAGTCCCATTATTATTATCATAATTATTTTAGAACAACGAGATTCAAACCTTCCATTTATAGTTAGGGAAATAAGTATGGTCTCCAAATTGCAAATATACCAGACAAGACCAACCAATTGATTAGTATTCTTAATGTGGAAGAATTTAATTGGGAAGATGCGGAAATAGTCCTTCAATATATATATATATATTTTTTTTTTTTCTTGATTGGTTAGTTTGGCACAAATCACTTAATTTTTAAAAAGGAACAGATGATTAAATTGTCTAGAGAATCGTGTTCATGTCTGCTGTTAAAATTTTCATTAGTCAAAGTAATTTGAAAAAAAATAATAGTGTCTATGTCTGCCTATTGGTTAAAGATTGAAATAAATTAGAAAGAATTAAATTCCATGTATGATTGAAAGGAAAAATGTAAGGTTTAAAAAAGAAAAAGGAAAAATATCAAGGAGTTGATAATTAGATAGCAATAAAATCCGGCTGGATCGGAGAAATTAGAAAAGTTGAAAAGCTATCCTCCAAGAAGAGTGCGCGGTTGGGTTGAAAGTTGAAAAGATAACCTCAAAGTCAAAGAAATTAGAAAAGTAGAGTAGAGGGTGAGGGGGGATGGGGGATGGGGCTGGTGCTGGTGCTGGTGCTGGTTGGGAAGAAAAAAGGACAAAACAAATTCAAAGGAAGAGTACTGTTCAGTGTACAGCTGGGTCTGGATCTGGGTCTGGGTCTGGGTCTGGGTATATATACATTACATTTTCATATGAGAAATGAGGCTTAGGTATCATGATGTGTCACTGTGTCATTCGTCCCTTCCTTCTCTTTCTTTCATTCTCAAAAGAAGATAAAAAGACCCCTCCCTATACACTATACCATCATTATTTATCATCGCTGTCAGGTTTTTATTTATTTATTTTAAAATTTTTTTTTACCAACCACACTTTCTCTTGAAATTTCTTTTTCTTTTCATGCCATCTAGACAAATATATAAAATCAAATTTTTTTATAAATAAAATGAATGGTCAATTTTTCTATGGTAGTCTCCTCTCTTAAAGAATCAAGTATTATTCATTTAAAATAACATATAAAACAATTATTAATAATTTTAAAATAACATGAGATTCATAAAATAAAATGTATCAAATTTTGAACGAGAACAATACTTATTATCTTGGTACTAGCCTTTTTCATCTTCTCCCTTGTATTTTTTCAAATTTAACTTAAAACATATCAACATCATAATTATTACACTTGTCAGCAAGGAGTACAAATAAAATGCTSCTTGACTAAGAAATAAGATGATGTATGGTATGTTAGGTAAGGACAATTATCTTTCTTAATATAATTTTTTTTTTTGTGAAATAGAAAACTGAGTCACGAAGCTTAGGCTCAAAACGTATCATATCATACCGATTCGTTGTATTTAACAATACTATTTATACCACCCTCATGTTTAGGTATTATAAGTCTAACACTATTAGTTATTTTACTTTTTATCACTTCTATCTTTATTTTTTATACATATAATATATTACTAGTAATGCACTAACACTATTTTCTGGTGCGGTTCAGTATAAACATTTGTTGCCTTATTTTTGGTTTCATTCAAAAATCACATTTGTTGCGTTATTTTTGGTTTCATTCAAAATTCGTCACATAATAAAGATAATTGTATATTTTCTAATTAATGCGAGACTCTCCCTTCAAACAAAGATCAAGATTTTCTTGGGGGAATCTTAACGCAATATTTTGCCTTCTTCCCCCGATCAAGTAGATAAATGTAAAGTGTTGGAATACTTGTAAAGAAAAATGTGGAAACCATCTGTGATGCGCTGTATTGTAAAAGCGGGAGGGAAGGTTTGGAAGGACTTATATTATTCTCTACCAAAATTTGTGTAGTTGCAGCGGCCCGGAGTTAAGTTGATCTGGTTTCACAGTTTAGGATTGTAGGGTTGGTACAATATTTGAGGCGTGAGAAATAAACAACACACATAAAAACATTAGGTCCATCTGCAACGAGATTGTTTTGTCGCCTTGTTGGACAGGTTTAAATAAAATAGGTACGCCCATATATCCTTGGGCGTAGATGACTCGTTTATGCGACCAAGTGGCCGTAGTCCCTACAATATAAAAGTGGATGCACATGCAAGTTGGAATCTGACAAGAGAATTGGTTTTGAAGGATCGTTTGTAGAAACGTTTGGTACAGAAGAAGGATTGAGCATTGTCAAAATGCTTAGGACGAGAGAAATGGTTTGGGAATATGCAAATTGCAAACCCCCCCATGTTGGACCGGAGAAAAATGTAGAATTGTATCCTGCGTTTCCTGGGTTTGAACTTGAAGATAAAATAGGGAGTAGAAATGGGGAAGGGATGAGGTGTAGGTGTAATGAAAAGAATTGGAAAGGGACTAGCTGTTGTGGTTGTGGGTGGGGAGCCGGAGGGATTAAATTAGTCTGTGTCAAAGTACAAAAGTATCAGCCTTTTCAGCGAGGTCTGGACTGGAGCAAGTGCAGCTGCTTGGCTAAAGGCAAAAATACTGACTTCGCTGAACCCTCTGCTCTGTACTTCCTCCTATTGCAATTGTTTCTTTTATTATTATTATTATTCCAACACATATATTGATGCAAATTACCAAGATGACCCTTCTCTTTTCCTAGCGCGGTGCACAGGATGTATCAAATCAAGCAAGTAAAGTAGCAACCCCACCATGGAGAATGGAGATAGAGTGAAGCGGATACTTTGAAAATACAAACAAAACAACTATCTGCCTGCTGTGCAGGTATTTACATCCGCTAGTTAGTTATAGTTATTGTTACGTTGTTGAAGTTGAAGTCGAAGTTGGAGTTTGTGTGGCTGGAGGCGAAGCAACGTCAGCCGAGGGCATTAGGCGTAATTTGGTGAAGGGTTGCCTTTATAGGGTGCAACAGCTCCCTTCCCACACACCCTTTTCTCTTGTTTTGTTTCTGTGCGTGGGCGGCTTCCTCCCTTAGCCACTTTCTTCTCTTGTCCCAACTCCCAACTCCCAAGCAGTAGAGCACAAGCCACAAGTAAAGGAAGTAAGGTCGGCAAACGAGCGACAGCTTGCAAGCTTGGTTTCTAGTTGTAGCGACCTACACATAGACTTCTCCAATCCCCAATCCCATATTGTATCGTAATGGATCCAGAAGCCCTCTCCGGCACTCTGTTCAAATGGGATCCTCGAGGCCTCCCACCACCACTACAGCCCTACTCCCTTGGGCGACTGGGAGGACTGGAGGAGCTGTTCCAGGCTTACGGTATCAGGTACTACACCGCCGCTAAAATTGCGGAACTTGGATTCACCGTCAGCACCCTCCTCGACATGAAAGACGAAGAGTTGGAGGACATGATGAACAGCCTCTCTCACATTTTTCGCTGGGACCTTCTCGTGGGAGAGAGGTACGGAATCAAGGCAGCGGTGAGAGCCGAGCGCAGACGCCTAGATGACGAGATCGACTCCTCCAGGCGCCGTCACCTCTTCTCCAACGATACCACTACCAACGTCCTCGACGCTCTTTCTCAGGAAGGTCACATATTTTTATATTTTATTTCTCAAGTAAAAGGAATTGGAGGGACAGCATATATATTCACTTAATTTGTTCGGTAAATAACTAACAGGTCTATCGGAAGAGCCGGTGCAGCAGCAGGAGAAGGAGGTGGTGGGGAGCGGAGGAGGAGGATCATGGGAGGCTGTTGCAGTTGCGGAGAGGAAGCTGAAGCAGCGGAGGAGAAACGGAAAGAAGAAGCAGCAGCAGGTGATAGAGGAGGATCACGACGAAAACGACGGAGCTGGGGAGGAGGATCAGGACAATATAGAAGTGAACGAGAGACAGCGGGAGCATCCATTTATTGTAACCGAGCCAGGGGAGGTTGCACGGGGAAAGAAGAACGGCCTCGACTACCTGTTCCACCTCTATGAGCAGTGCCGTGAATTTTTGATTCAAGTGCAGAACATTGCCAAGGAACGAGGTGAAAAATGCCCCACCAAGGTATTTTCTCTTATTTTTCAATTCGATTAACATTAACTAGGCGAGGTCACTTGCTTAAAATTAATTTTAAAGAAAAAAAAAATCGCAAACGAATAGGTTATAGTTTGTTTGGTTCACTTTTGAGTTGGAGGAGTAATAATGAATTTGAATTGAAGGGGGTCCGGTCCGTAGGGCCGAAACAAAAAGTAGTAGAAAGCGTGACAAGTGATGCAGGGAAGGGAGACGTGGAGTGGACTGCGCAATAACTTTTGTGATTTCGTACCGTATGATACTGAGGGGGGCAGTCATAGATGGCAATAGGAAGGAGGGTAAACGACAACGACGTGATAAACTCTTTTTTTTTTTAACATTTAATTAATCTGTTCCACTTCCGCCACTGGGGCATGTTGTTAGTCTTGCTTTATGTACATTACATGATGTAATATGTGTGTTTGTGTGTGTGTTATAATATAAACAAGCAGGTGACGAACCAGGTGTTCAGATATGCTAAGAAGGCGGGAGCAAGTTATATAAACAAGCCGAAAATGAGACACTACGTGCACTGCTATGCGCTGCATTGTCTGAACGAGGAGGAGTCGAATGCATTGAGGAGAGTTTTCAAAGAGAGGGGTGAAAATGTGGGAGCTTGGCGACAGGCATGCTACAAGCCTCTGGTGGCCATAGCGGGTGCCCAAGGTTGGGACATTGATGCCATTTTCAACGCACATCCACGCCTCGCCATTTGGTATGTGCCTACCAAACTCCGTCAACTCTGCCATGCCGAGCGCAACAGCGCCACCGCCTCAACCTCCGCCGATCACCTCCCTTTTTAATCAACTTCTCAACACGTCTACACACACATCATACCTGCCCCGTCCCCTACGTTTTCTTTTCATTTCATATATAATGTAATATGTGTAGACCCCATCCGCTCCATCAAATTTAACATATACAATATATATAATATAATATCGTCTTGTGTGTGGGCCGAATCCAATTAGGTGGTGTAGTATCACATATGTGTGTCCAACTAGTTCCATCCTCGTCTCCTCTTCAACCCGGCCTATCTTTAATAATAATACTTGGGTGCACCGTGCTCACCTTTCTCTCCTATAACAGAGGAAGGATAAGATTTAGTTCTTCCCACTCACATTATTCAAAGATTATCAATTTTTTTCGTATTATTATTTTTTAATTCCCTCAAAACTATCCAACCAAAACCCATCATCTAACAGATCTCATTTGGTTCTTCCTGGGGGTAAAGTTATCGGGTTGGTTCAGTTTTCGAATAGAAAGAAAAGCCCGATCTGATTGGTGCTATTAATTAAGCCAGCCCGACCTAGTTCGATTTTTTTTTTTTCTGTAGGTTCAGTTTCTTCTCAAGAATTAAATCCACATCTAAAATAATCAGTAATTTCTCCATTAACTATTAGGTACCGGTACTCAAAAAAAAAAAAAAAAACTATTTGGTACCGAAATTATTCGCTTCTGATTTATTTCTAATTGTTGTTTCGTTGCCCCCACTAAAAATAGATTAGCTAATTGAGGCAAAATGAGGAACGAAAGAAGAATACACCCTTGTTGATTTTTTAAAGTTCATAGTCATGAGGTCTGGAGAGAAAATTAAGTTCACTTGAGCAAAATATACAAAAACAACTTCATTATTTTGAGTGCCACAACCTTTATGCTCCATTTGTATTTCAAAATCAAATGAATTCTGTTGTTTTGTAGATGGGATCCATGTCGAGTTTTGCAGAATTTCATAGAATCTCCAAGTAAATTAACTATTTCAGCTCCTTATATTTTAATCTAGAATTAATAAATTTAGATTAAAAGACTAAATCAGTAAATAAAACTATTTTCTTTTCCTTTCAAACAAACACCCAAACAAATAAATTTAATTTAATTCATTTCAAATCATTCTGGTTCCAAATATGATAAAAAAATTTAAAATCATTTCTCCAATTTCAAATCACGGAATTTAAAATCATTTATTGAACTTTCTTGACGTCTAACAGGGTGTTACTTTTTATTTATATATTTTTGGGCCAACTTCTGATATGACAAAAAAAAAATTAGCAAAATAGTAACCATGTTTTTTATTTTTCAAATATAGCATTTTTTTCCAAAAAAACAGACGCTCACGTATTAAATGACAACGTTATCCTGCAGACTCAAACCCAAGCCCAGAAAACCTTACGTTTCGATTTCCTCTGATTTTCATATGATATATTATTGATATTCGTGATTGATATACTACTAATATGAGTGTCTGATATACTGCTGATATCATAATCTCATATACACCTAATATGAGTGTGTGATATACTATTGATATATATATTTGCGATATAATATTTATATGTACGTCGACATATTACTGATACGAGTGTTTGATATACCATTGAAATGAGTGTTTGATATATTATTGATGTGATAATCTGATTTACATATGAATTTTGATTTTACTTTAACAGGAGAATGAGTCGGCTCAGTTTAAAAAGTAAAGTCAAAACTCCGCCCTAGACTCGACCACTAAAACTTGCTTCTGGCCCAACCTATAAGCCCAACTCAAAGAGTCAAAATTGAATTGGGCTTCAACTGGTCCTTTAAATCGGATTTGAATGGGTCCATGTGATAAATTATTGTTTTAAAATAAAGCTTTTTGAATATTTGAATTTGTATTTTTATTTGATTATTTCGTACCATTTTTGTTTATTTTTTTAGAAGGTTATCAAAAATTTTTGTTATATCATATTGGTACAACTTGGTCATTTTTTTAATAAATTGTATTATTATATGAACATAAAATAATTTAGAGAATGAAAAATGACAATAAAAAACACCAGTAAATACAAACTAATTATAATATATTATTATATTTGATTGTATTGTCCTGGAGAGTAAAATCAGCCTACCACGTGGACCAATATCAATTGGGTGCTTTCTAATATCGAGTTATCAGTGGATAGTTTATTTTATAAGGCATACTGATCTATAAGCTTGCACCTCTATGTAATGTCTCTTTAGGCTGGATATCGAGCTAAAATATGAAACCAATCATAAATGTGCAACAACCTCTGGAATGTTTGTTAGAGAACGAGCTCTCCTCCAACTCCTATAAATATACACCAACTCTAGACCAGACCTTGGAATGATTTGAACATTAGAGTTTTTGTTTATTGTGTGCAATTTTTCTTGCCTATCTCGCTCTGTGTAGCTAGGTTAGAGAAAACAAGAAGGATGATATAATTCGTTTTTACCACAAAAATGAAAGCTAATACTTGAATTGTCACTCAACAAATTGTCAAACGCTTCTATAATAAAAAATGTGAAATATGAAAATTGAGGATTAAATTTTTATCTAATTTACTAAAATGAAAGCTGGTACTCCAATTATCACTCAACAATTTGGCAAACGCTTCTATAATTAATAATGTGCAATATGAAAATTGAGGATTAAATGAAATCTAATCTGACATATTATAATTCAAATGGTTGGTAATATAATAATGTCTCATCCTACGCGGTAGGTCAAACAATATTCTAATTGAGTCTTAGGGGCACCACAAACGCAAATCTCTCTAGCTTTGTTGACCTGAACTATAGTGGGGAGAGTGATTTACAAAATTTGGCAAGTTAGTTTAGTTAAGCTTTTTTTTTTTTTGTCCTTATTCTTTGAAATAGATTAGTTTTATTGTTCACTTAAAAGAAAAAATCTTTAGTTTTAAACGTTTAATTGTATTTGTTTATTTTGTTTAACGAATAATGAGAAAATTAAAATTTGCTCGGACAACGACGTTATAATCATGGTTATGATGATAAGAGTATCAATATTCCGTACCATGCATTCACTCATCATTAAAAGAATAAAAAATGCCATACATTTAACCTCGAAGAGACAGCAACATTTCCACACCACTATCAATGAACAATCGCAAGAAATGTACTGAAAAAAAACAAACAAAAAAACAATTGCCAGAGAAGAAAGGGTAATTAACCTTCCACTTTTTTCAAGAGCAATAACTGATTACTGACTCTACACCGCACACCCTGTTTTCGTATCATCATATTATCATACAACTGTCTTTTTTAGCGCCATACCATAACTGGCCATCTAACTTTTGTTTCTCTTTTCCCAATATTTTCCAATCACTGCTTTTCAATTTTGAAACTAAACTATACTCTTTTATGTTTTTTTTCTCATTATTATATTATGTTAACAAATTTATATTCCGCCAACGCTGCACTATGCTTCAATAAAACATGCACCATACTCCCCACATTTGTTACTCTCTTGAAAAATAAAAACAAAATTAAACTCTTATCTTTAGATTACGAAACGGACAATAAAAATCATTATATCACGAAACAGACAATAAATGAACGATATTATCAAGACATTATTATGCTAAATCATGATGATTCTTGTTTTCTTATTAAATACTTATCCGTTTCATTTATTATAATCGAGTATTTAGTAAGTGATATATCAAATTTAATACGACAAAAAGATAATACGACAAAACATATAGCTGCACGTTTGTTAGTTGACATGAATTTTGTCGTTACCACAAAAATATATATATTCCCAATGACAAAACTTCTACTAAAAGGGATCAAAATAAATAAGAATGATTTACAAGAAATGAATTCAAATCTATGATGACTACCTACATAAGAATCAAATTTCCACGTATTTTATTGACAACAAAATATACTAGAATCAGAGTTGTCCGATAAGAATAGTAAAGGTCGGGAGGATATATATATAAAAAAACTAATAATTTTTTTTAGTACAAGAGTGTGGATCAAACTCACACCTGATAATTTTTGAAGGGTTTGAAATATGTCAAAATGTGAATAAAACCCAGCAATTTGTTGAACTAGAAAATGGAATAATTCCTTTGCGAAAAAAAAAAAAAGAAAATGGAATAATGTGAATAAACGTAATCCTTTGTCAAAAAAAAAAAAAACAATAATAATAAAGGTAATCCTTCCTCACTCTCCAGGTCCAGGTCCAGGTCGAGTTGTCCTAATTGTATATAATAGACTCGCCCGTATGTGATTGCTCCCGAATTTCAAAACAAGAACCAAAAGTTTCAAAAGCCCGCCGTCCCTTGCACATTCTCCTATAAAATCCATTATTGCAGCGACTAGCCGGCACGATGCGATCATCCAATCCCAATCGTTTCAATCGTCTATTCACACGGCTCTGTGCGTCGGGTCTCCCTCTATCTTCACCTTCCCGTCCTTCCATTTGCACTCCACTCTCATGGCCCAGGTTTCTCAGCTGCCCTGCGACGGAGATGGCATTTGCATGCTCTGCAAGGCCAAGCCTTCGGACCTGGAGACCATCACTTGCAAAACTTGTGTCACCCCCTGGCACGTCGCCTGTCTCTCAAATCCCCCTGAAACCCTTGCATCTACCCTTCAATGGGACTGTCCCGACTGTTCCTCCCCTCCCGGAGATGTTCCGCTTCCTCCCCCCACTGCGCCTTCTAGTCACTTGGTTGCTGCGATTCGAGCCATTGAGGCCGATGCCTTCCTTACTGATCGTCAGAAGGCAAAGAAGCGCCAGGAGCTCCTCACCGGGAACTCTCACTCCGACAAGGATGATCGCGATGCCACCAACCGCAAAAGTCTAATAGGGGACGACGTTTTGGAATTGTTTGACGAGAGATTGAACTGCTCCTTCTGCATGCAGTTACCAGAAAGGCCAGTCACAGTAAGTTCCTCGTCGCATCTTTGTTTCTTCTTTGATCACCCACACCGCCCGCTCTTTTCTTTATGTCCTTGTATTGGTTGCAATCATCTTTTTCCGTGTCTTTAGCTGTCTCTGCTACAACGAATGATGTTTCATCTTCCATCTCATCTATTTTTATTTGTGATTCACTTTCTTTTATCTCTGTAATTTGTAATTTTCATTTTTACAGTCTCACTTCAATTTTCATCTCTTCAATAGCTTGAACTAAATGAAACAAAATGCGATTGTTTATCGTGGCATTCATTTATTTCTTCTGACTTTAGGATTTAACAGATTATTTAATGCGGTTTCCCTTTTTTGTATTAATCGAAGTAATTTTCTGGTATCTAATGCGAAACACTGTCTCTTTTCGTCTCTGCAATTTAACCCATTAAGGCTCGTAATTAGAGTCTTTTTTGCCTTCAATTGCAATTTATCGTTTTTGCCTTGGCCTCAGATAGCGGATAATTCTGTCAATTAATGTCCATATGCGTTTTAGGGTGTTATTAGAATTATCATTAATACCAAAAGCTAAATGAGAGGTATTAATTTATGTTATTGTTATATCACACAAGCAAACCTTCATCAATAAGCTTGGCCCATTAGATTGAAATATGTCGTTGATGTATATTTTGATCATAGGTTATTATGGTAATGTTGATACAAAAAATGAATTTTGTCCCTCAAAGTTGTAAACGACAAATTGTATATGTTATACTCTGTCATTCATTCTTTTAAGTTTTACTCATATATCATATCCTCTCTAATACGTTATGGAAGTTTTGATAATGCTTATGCAAATTTTGGACAGAGCATTTTTTTGTTGATAACTGTCTGGATGTGCTCATCATAGTTAATATGGAGAAAGTACTGCAAATCTTATGTTTTTGATATCTGCTTCCTATAATTTTACGGACTTTTTCTAAATTTGCTGATCCATTTACTTTCAGTTTATTAAAAATTGTGTCTTAATGCTGACCAAATAGAGGCTCAACCATCCAAGTATAAATTAAATTGATAGGTAAGAAAGCACCTGGTAGTAGGATGGGAGTCTGTTTAATTTTTTGCCGTGGTATTGGTTTTGATAATGCAACAAATAGTGTTGTAATATGAGCACAATCATTCAAATATATATATATATATATATATATATATATATAAATCTGTTTTGATAAATTAATGTAGCATTAAACCCTAGTTTATAGGTGACACGAGAATTAATCTAAGAAGATTGATTATGGTTATATAATGCATCAGTCGTGTAATATGAGTTGCAATCAACATTATTGTAACTTGTTTGAGAAGATTATTGGATTCTCATCTTTTGACAAAATGTTGGTTTTTACACTTGAATGTCTAGTATTGATTGTAAAAGTTTGAGATAGTATTGTAGAGGTTTGTAGTTTGAACCTGTTATCTTCGTTTTAATATTTCATGTAAGGTTCATATAGACTGGAGTTGTTTATTCATTTTTGCGATAATGGTGGCTGCAACTGTATATTGTGTGGGTATGTAAATGGGAAACCTTGTTGTTAATTATTGTACAAACGTTATCTACAGCAATATCAATGCCAAATTCACTGTTGAGTCTGTTGGCCAATTTATGTGGAAGAAATTAAAGATGATGCTTTGTGTTAGTGTTTTGTTGGAGAGTTCTCCGTTCATGAAGCAGGTACAGTCAGTGGATCAGTAGCCAGACTTATTCTTGTATTATTTATGTTAATCATAGTAGTAAGTTAATTGAAGCTAATAATGATGCTCAAATTGATATTACTTGTGCCAGATTTGGGTCCTAATTCAAGGAATTTTTCTTAGAATGTTGTGTTTCACTATCTGAAATGCATTATTCTGTTAGAAATAAGTTCGTTCAATCATTGAACATTTCTTTTGTTTTTACCATTGAAGTTCTAATGTTCAACGAATACTTCTTAGAATGTGGTGTGCCAGATTTGTTTTTACCATTGAAGTGCTAGTTTTCGAAGTTGAACCTTTTCAGTTGTATAGTTTAGCCTTGGAATAGAAATGAGACCAATCTTTTGTAAGACTTCTTATTCACAATTATTAACTCAATTTTTTGAGGCATGATGTTTCTATCTGCCCAGGTTATTTTGGTGCATATGTTTGTTTATATCTCCTATAATCTTGTTTAGTCAATCTGTCAATAACTTGAAAATTTGTAATTGATTTGTTAAGTCTTTCCTTTTGTTAATACGATGTTTTGATGAGTAGTTAATTGCCAAACCCTTGTTGATTTGATTCCTATTGGATTTTATCTTTGAAATTATAGTATTATTGCCGACTACTTTAGGCATCTTGTTCACGTGAAAGTATAATATTAGGGGATCATCTTTGTCTATCAATTTGATAAATTTAGTTTATACTAATGAGAACATGGCCATGTCGTTATCCAGACTCCATGTGGCCACAATTTCTGCTTAAAATGTTTCCAGAAGTGGATTGGACAAGGAAAGAATACTTGTGCAAAGTGCCGTTGTGTGATTCCCTCCAAAATGGCTAGCCAGCCCCGTATTAATTCTACCCTTGTAGTGGCCATTCGTATGGCTAAAATGTCAAAATCAATTGTTTCTGGAGGACCTCAGAAGGTTTATCATTTCGTCCACAATCAGAATAGACCAGATAAAGCCTATACCACTGACCGTGCACAGAAGAAGGGAAAGGCTAATGCTGCAAGTGGAAAGATATTTGTTACAATTCCATCTGATCATTTTGGTCCTATTCCTGCTGAAAACGACCCAGAGAGAAACCAGGGTGTGCTTGTTGGTGAATGCTGGGAGGATAGGCTAGAATGTCGTCAATGGGGTGCTCACTTTCCACATGTTGCAGGTATAGCGGGGCAGTCAAGTAATGGTGCACAATCAGTGGTTCTTTCTGGTGGCTACCAGGATGATGAAGATCATGGGGAATGGTTCCTTTACACTGGAAGGTTCTTGTCTCCGTACTTTATTCATTTGTTCCATCCCTGTCTTTGTTGTTGGGTATGAAATCTGTCCTTGTTTTTCCCCAGTTCTGCTAACTTTTAACAAGCCAGGTAATCAGATGGCTTGTTCTTGCATTAGATAAACTGATGATGGACTATTCAATTCATTTTCGTTGTTTAGTACCATTCACTTATTGTTGCTGGCTTTCTTTTCCATTATATATTTCCTTCCATTATATTGCTTGCTTATAGCTTCTGAAGATTTTGAGCTGTTTGGTACAGGGTAAATTTGGAGTTTATTTGTTCATTACCTTAATAACTTTTCTTCTTTTTTACATTATTCGGTCATTATGCATGATAAACCATTATTTTTGTTGGTTTTTCATTGGAATTATATTGCAGTGGGGGTCGAGACCTTAGTGGGAACAAGCGTACGAGCAAGGATCAGTCCTTTGACCAGAAATTTGAAAAATCAAACAAAGCCCTACAAGTTAGTTGCTTGAAAGGTTATCCTGTTAGGGTTGTTAGGTAGGTGGATACAAATTAATACTTGATCTCTGTGCTTTCTGAGTTTTATATTTCAATAGATGTACTTTGTTCTTTTGTAGCCCATTTACTTATTTTGAACCTGTATTCTTATAGCATATCTCTCCCTTTGAAGACAGTGCCAGAACCTGGCTTACTGTGCCGTAGGTCTCTTGATTATTCAATTTCTACATAATTTTTATGCCTGCCCTTCAGTTCGCTCTTTCAACTAGCAAGAGAGTTTGTGACTCAGAATTTAAGATAGGGCGAGGAATTATTTGACTTTTCTACTCATATGGAACTTGAAAAACTCATGGTTTAAAATGGTCTCATTGATTTTATGTGCTTTGTGTGATTATAGTTGAACTTTTCATTTTGAAACTAGAGAAATGCAGTAAAATTTCTGTTTTGGTGGAGCCTGTTAAATGTGTTTTTCAATATTAGGTAGAGGTACGGGGAAGTCAGAAAACTTTAGCTATTTTATCTGTTATCTGTTACTTGTCAAAACTGCGCCTTTTTTTTTATGCCAAATAAGAAGCTTCTTGTATCTTTTGTTGTGGTTGCATTACAATTGGACATGCCTTGGAAAAACTAGCGTTACTTTTGGCTTCTTTATGTTGTATGTTTGAGTACGTTTCAATTCCAACCTGCGATCTGAAGTTTATTAACGGCATATATTAACATTCTTGATAACAGATCTCACAAAGAAAAGCGTTCTTCATATGCTCCAGAGAAGGGGTTGCGGTATGATGGGATTTATAGGATTGAGAAGTGTTGGCGTAAAGTTGGAATTCAGGTATTGAAGCTATTTTTTTCTTTCCCAACCTGCCATCTGCCGAACAGATTATTGATTCAATGTGTATCTTGAAACTAGGGCTTTAAGGTATGTCGGTATTTATTTGTTAGATGCGACAATGATCCTGCTCCATGGACAAGGTTTGTGTTTTCTGATCATCTAATTGTTTCAACTTCCCAAATGGTAATTTGAAGTCTCCGGCTTATGGCTCCAAGGCCTTTTCCTTCATTAGACAAACACTCAACTAGTTTTTAACTGCAGCGACGAACATGGAGATCGACCTAGAGCATTACCTGCAATTCCAGAGTTGAAAAAAGCGACAGATATTACGGAGAGAAAGGAAGGTCCATCATGGGACTTTGATGTGAGTATTCTCTAATTATGTGCCACTTGTGAGGCATCTCCTTTTCATAACGGAACAAGCATATCTTTGGCTTCTGTTCCTTTGTTTCTAATAAAACAAATTCATAAGAAGAAAATAATGAGCTTTCTATGAGTTCAGGGTGTTGGTGGTTTTAGATGATATTGGAATGGGGAAAAGTGTTTTTAGCTAATCAGAAGTAATTAACTTTTTTTTTAAATACTATTTAAAGATGTTTTTCAAAATTATGAAATTATTTTAATATATTTAGTTTGTGTTTCTTCTAAATGTGTAACACATTTTTAGTTAAAAACACTTCTATCATAAGAGCATCTCAAACTCGCCAGAACTAGAAGTTCATTTAGTCATGTCATAACATCTTCACTTTTCATTTGTTTTATGTCATAATTTTATGTTCCGTTTCTATCTGGCCACCATTGTTTCTCATCCCCAGTTCTAACTTCTATTTGATGATATCAGTCTCCTATCATCCTCCACCCACATGAACACGACCTTTGGTCTCTCTTCTCTCTCTCTCTCTCTCTACCTAACATCTTCTGTTTTCCTGGGCTATTACAAATAGACACCCAATTATTTTGATTTCAATTGTTTAATTTATTGAAGTTTCTTTATTTCTTATTCTTAAATATTATTAAATTTGTTTAATTATCATTTATTTGTTACTCTTCATTTTTTTAAAAAAATGTTTTTGAAATATTAACCAAACTAAAGAAATAACAACAAATATATTCATGTTTTTTTTAAAACAAAACTAAAATTCCAATTTTGAACTTTAATTTTACTTTGGGACATGAATTGTATCAAACTTCATAAACACTTGACAAATATTTTTTCAACTATTTTAATGCATATTACATATTTTTACATTATATCCACTAAATTTGATATGTTTTTACATTGTGTCTTAGAAATTTTCTTTGAGCTATATGAAAAAAGAACAAAGAATAGTTATCAATAAATACTTTTTTTTTTTTCTCGAGGAACAAAAAACAAAAATAATTAACAAACATATTCTTTATTTTTAGTTATACAAAAATTAGAAATAAGAAATAGGAAACAAAATACTAGGAATGAAAACTAGAAACAAGAATGTTATCAAATGAGGTCTAAAATACTTGTCCTATTGTGAACACCAGTTTTGAGGTATAAATGAGGTTATTTCTCCTCGCATTCATTTTCTTTGAACTCTAGAAGGATTTGCCATCTTTTAAAAAAATGATTGTAATTTGCTTTAAGGTATTGGTGTATTTAAAAAAACAAATTGTTATGTTATTTTCATTGATCTTTTAACATTATTTTCTTTTTTATTGTTTTTAATTTTAAAAACTGTTAAAAAATATATCTTTAATAAACAAGTATTTTGTGAAAACATGTTTTATTAATATTTGTTTGTAAAAATAAAATGGACATTTGTATGTAAACATAACTTCCTAGTAGGCCTTTAATTTCTGGGACACTTTCAATTTCTGAAAATACAATTATACATCTTATATGTTATTTCCTTAAGTTCTTTTTTCCTTTTTTTGAAATAATTATTTCCTTGAAGCTTGATACTTAATCACAATACATAACGATTATTGTGTGCCATCCTGAGCATAAGTCAATTGGTTTAGGCATATAGCTTTTGACTAAAAAGTTAGAAATTTGAATCTCTACCTCGCATATTAAACTAAATGAAGAACATTCATATCTATAATTCAAGTTTATTATTGTTTTGAAAAGGTATGATTTCACTATGTGTACTTGTATATTTTGTTTGGAGTATCATTGTTCATTTGAATCTCTAGCTTGTGAAATTGAAATTTGCAATTATTTTACATTTGCCTGGTTTAGTCTTAGTTCTTTTAAGTGTGGTTATAGCTTCTTGCAGGATAAAATGTTTTTACCACTATTGTTTTGGTTTACCGACAATTTTCGTAATTTTATCTAAGCTATCGAGTAAATTAAGTGTTGTGTAGTAAAGATATGAGCCATCTGCAAGTTTATTTTAGGAGAAAGATAGTCGGTGGAAGTGGAGCAAACCTCCACCGACGAGTAAGAAACCAGTTGAAACCGAAGATTCAGCTTCTGGGAAGAGGTCAAGGAGAAAAGTTAGGCAATCGCAGAATATGAGCGTTAGAGAAAAGTTACTGAAAGGTTGCGTTCATAATATTGAATCAAGTCGTTAAGAAATAAAGGCGGTTTGGTGTTAAGCTTTTTAATATTTTTCCATTGGCTACATATTGGTGTATATACAGAGTTTAGCTGCCTTATTTGCCGGGAGGTGATGACTCTGCCGATCACTACGCCTTGTGCGCATAACTTTTGCAAGTCATGCTTGGAAGGTGCTTTTGTGGGCAAGACGTTCTTGAGAGAGAGAAGCAGTGGTGGGCGAGCTCTTAGATCTCAAAAAAACGTCATGACTTGTCCTTGTTGCCCGACAGATATATCTGATTTTCTACAGAATCTTCAGGTAATAAACTAAGAAAGATTATTTTTGTTTTAGTATGCAGAAAATTGTTCCTTTTTCTGAGATGGGGAGTTGGTATTAATAGGTAAATAGAGAGTTGTTGGATGTGATCGAGTCGTTGAAGAGTAAGATTGAAGAAGGGGATACGTCGGAGAAGCTGTGTGAAGAAGGGACAGACGGGGAAGAGGAGGGAAAAGAGTGCAGTAGTCCTGTGGGTGTGGAAACAAGAAAGCGAGCAAAGGTGGTGGCTGATGGTGGGGAGGAGAATGGCGTGGGCGGTGATGGAGACGATTCGCCCTCAAGCCCCCTCCACGTTGATGATTTGGAGTGAACGCAAGTGTTGGTTGGGCCAATTGGGCTTTTTTTGATGGGCTTGGGTAGCAGCATAATTTTGGGTAAGATGTGCGTCTCCTGTCATTTGATCTGAAGACGATATCAGGTGGCAATGCTTTTTTAATTCGAGACGCTAGACAAACACAGACACAGTTTTATCATTTTGTTTTCCGGAACTTGTGTAAATGGGTCAGTTGTAAGTTGTAATACACAGCGGCGGTCATCATGGGTGGGTTGGAATGTACTTGCAATACACAGCGAATGTAGTTGTTATGAGGGGTCATTCCCGTTCCAACTGATGGATTCTCTTGGTCTTGATTTTGGTTTGAACATTTGGAGAAAGGTGCCGAAAGTCATGGTTCACTAATCATGGGCCGTAAACGTTGACAATTGAGCCGAAAGACCCGAGTACCACTCGTCGGCCGCTCTATTATTTTATTTTTGAAAGAAACCCATTTAATCTCCCAATGTTTTCCGTCCTGTAATTTTATCACAACTTTAATTTGTCTCGGAATCAATTACTAACTTCCTTCTGGTTTTGTGATTTATATTTAGCAGTAAGATCAGTTGTTAGGAGTGCTAATATCTGATAATTTATTATTTTTTGGAACTAAAAGCAAATTCATGAAGGTTATAGCTACAGTATCATGTACCATTGCAGAAAAGATAAAACTTGGCTTCTTCACTAGTAAGGAGAACTCGTCTTTATCACTATTGAATATTTAACAACTAAGAGTGAGAAATGTAAAAATAAAAATTTATTTTAAAATTAATGAGTGGTCAAATATTAAGGGTGGTAAGAATAAAATTGTTCCTTAACGGTGAGTAGTTAAGTTTTATTCTTGTAGAAATACGTGGAGTTTAGTCTTCTTTCCATTATAATGATAAAAAAAAGTAGGTAAAGTGTAGACTTTGGTTGTTCCTGTGAAAGGAGCTTAAATTGCAAGGTGTGAAACAAACTTTAATTTAAGTCCAGCACACACGGCAACTGGAAGTACGTCTGAAAGCGGGAGTTGGTAGGCGGGATTCAGCCGAATTGGATGACCCTTTGGTTGGAGCGCTCCCCACAAACCACATTATCCTTTTCCATCCACTTCCTCTCTACTCTTGTGTATACTGTTGTTTGCTCATATCCAACTTCCAAGGGCCAACTTCGGTTAGCATCTGTCTTGTTATTAAGGGCCAAAAGTGATCAAATTTTGGAATCTATAAAGTTTTTTTCTTCTTCCGACTCCCGAGACAACTTTAGGTTAAATATATATCTTGTGCTTAATGATATAAAACTAAATTGTGCTTTCTTTGTATCATTGAGATAAGATAATATATTCTCCATCAAAAATTCATGGGTTCGAATCCCAACTCTACAAGTTGTTGTATTAAAAAAATTAAAAATAGAAATAACAAGCATGAAATAATTATCAAACATATTTTATTTATTATTTTTTTTCAAGATACAAGAAACATAAAATAGTCACCAAATAATTTTTTGTTTCTAGTTCTAAAAAAACTAAAAACAAAAAATAAGAAGGGAGAACGTTACCAAACAGGGTCTAAATATCTTCTAAACTTCTACTCTACACATTGACATTACAGTAGCTACTTTTTCCATCAATATCGCCAATGCCCTGGAATTCAAAATTCCAATAATGTTAGGATTATTGAAGTCATAATTTTCATATCTGTAGAAGTGCGAGATATGCAGCTACCATATTTAACAAGAGAAGAATGTGTTAAATTATTAAGTTAGATAAAGTACGAAGTGGGTTCTATTCGCATGACCTTATATGGAAGCTAGATTTTAAATGTCGATGTCGATGGATATCTCTTGAAAGACTATAAAAATAAGAAGTTTTCATCAAATAAGCATTATACTAGTTAAATAAGTTTAAAATGATGCATACTAATATTATTATGTGATATTTTGTTGTAATATTACGGAAATATTCGATTTACTTGTTAGGTTGATGTTGAACCCATTGGATACATATGGATGTCGATGGAAATGTTGAGACGTTGAAAAATGAAAAGAAAAGACGCGGACAACAATGGGATAGAGAGTAGAATCAGTTGGGGGGTGCAGCATCTTGTTCCTGTTCCTGTTCGTGATCCTGATGAGAAGAATTAAAAGTGGGAGGAGGAGCGTTGAAGAAGAGGTTGTGAGGGTGAGGAGGAGGAGCGTTGAAGAAGAAGTTGTGAGGCTGAGGCTGAAGCCTCTCTGGGAAATTGAGCTTTGCTTTGGTTCCTTTGAAGCTGAGGGCAGCTTGGTCGTAAGCAAGTGCGGCAGCCTCGGCAGTGTCGAAAGTCCCCAGCCAAACTCTAGCTGCCTTTTTCGGATCACGGATCTCGGCCGCCCACTTGCCCCACGGTCTCTGCCTTACTCCACGATAGTGTCTTCTTCTGCTGCAGCTTCCGCCGCTACCTGAAATCATTAATTAATTAATTATACATATATATATATATAAATCAAGTATCCTATATGCCTATGCCTACGCCTGCCTTGTTGATCATTATCTTCATGTGGCTGCGGTTGTGGTGGTTGCGGTTGTGAAGTTGTATGATCTGAAGGGGTTCGGTTGGATTTGATGACTTCAGCTAGGGCACACACCATGGCCGACATGTCGTGTTGAGATCTAGCCGAGTACATCGGAAACAACGCCTTCTCTTCCTCCGATTCATCATCCGAACATACCGTTCTCTTCCCATGCATTTGTTTTCCAATCGGAGCCCTAATTCAAACGTCAAACTTCAAACCTTCAAACTCCCACTTAGCTTCCACCAACACCATATATCATTCATACTTCTACTTCATATCCTCTCTCTCTCTCTATATATACCAATTTTCTACCTACTCCCGCTCCCCCCTCACATCCCAACTTTAACTTTTTAAAACTTTTAACTCCATAATTTTTGCAAATACTATATCTTGCTCCGTACCTAATTGTGTATTGGACAAACTGTTGGATTTTCAAGGAGAATGCCCAATTAAAGGGCCTAGAATAACGAATGAAATATATTCAACTTTATTCGCTGTCTTTGAACTTGATAGTAAATCCTCAGCACGTATACGGCTATATTACCGATGACCCAAATTTTTAGAATATTTCTCAATTTATGTGTCAGGGTCTGTTGGATTATACGATTTGAAGCTACTTTGACCCTTTTTCATGTCCAAAACTACAATCCTGTCACCCTTTGTACTTTAATGAACAGGTCGTTTCACCCTAAATAAGCTATTTTTCTCAACTTTCAACCCCATTCATAAGTGAAAATTTTCATAATTTTCAATATATGCATCAATTAATTTTTTGCAACATTAGAGAGTAATTGCATCAGAATGAATATATGCATGTCACCGTGGCAATGTGTTATTGTGCACAAAAATTTAATACTGTTAAAAGTTGAACACTGACAAAAGTACTTATCGCAGTAATTACATTAACGCCATTGTTTGGGGAAGAAAATACCCTGGATACGTGGAGGACCCCTATTGGTGCTCCAAGATGACTCATGAGTCATGCCCAACTCGAACCGCCGAGATCACCACCACTAGTGTTGACAGATGCTAAGTATGAGGGCCGAGGTGAACCTGGCCGAGGTCCGACCTACCAGGAAGCTCGGTGGGGGCCGATATGAACTACTGTCAGCGGCGTGATTATCGGGTGTAACCGACGGCCCCGAGATTACCGGGTGAAACCGTCGTGAGAGTAGCGGGACTACCACCCATAAGTAGAGGGCCTCACTCCACGATCAGGTACGATGATTTCTGACCTCGAACTAGACTGGGAATCCGACCTATACTGACTTGATCGTCGGAGTGCTCACCTTTTTGTGCAGGTCCGCCCAAGTATTCAGATCGGTCCGGAGGCCGAGTTCGAGCTGCAACCAAAAGTACACTGTTGTGCATATCCTTGCATAAACAGCCATTAACAAAGATTTTAACGTCAATGTTTGGCTTATAACCTCGGGTATTATAGATATTGTTTGTGCACGAATTGTACTTAACAAACGATCACACGAAATCCTCTTTGTTACCTGGAGGGACCTGCAAGGTACTTCTCGTTAGGATTCACTTACCCCGCCTGTTGGAATAATTGCTGGATAAGTAAATTTCCTCGGATCACGGGACTCTTCCGAAATTACGCTCGTAGTTGGCAGTATGGAGATGACGTTTTCTGACGTTAGCTCAAAAGTCTTCCACTTTTCCACTCTAGCGATGTAACACGTGGCAATTGACTTTTATCCCCTACCATCGATATAATATTTAGAAAATAATTGTAAGTAAAATGATTTTGAGAATTAATTAATTAATTACAATTACTTTGATAGTAGTTATCAAAATTAATAATTATTCATTTACATAATATCATTGGCCATTTTGGCCTTGATATTGGTGATGTATAAACATTATGTTCGTAATGTTGCATGTTGTTCTATCGGAAAGGGTATTATATTTGGAAGGGAGAAAAGGACATGGGCATTATTGGTAGTCTTCATTTCCAAGAATTCGTGACGATGAAGCTTTAATGTCGTGGTTCTTTCATTTAAAATGATGTATTCATAACCGTCAATTGGTCCAAGGTTCAAAAAGAGCGGAGGAAATTCAAAAAGAATTTTAGAGGGAATGGATTCAAGTTAGGTTACCTAGTTAATTTTCGAATAGAATAGTATCATTCATTTCTTAGTAAATTTTGCATTCAAAAAATGATGAGAATTAATGAATAAATGTTTTTCCATGAATACACCCTTGAAATTCCGACCCAAGCTTAGAAACAAACATAAACAATGAAATAGCAAACGGAGAAAACAAAAATAACAGCAAAAGATAATGTTTTGTTTCGGCTGCCTTTACCCTTTAAGATTCAGGCATGTCCTGATGTTCAGCATTCTATTCATCGAATCAGCAAATAGAGTTCCAATGCACATGATATGAAAAGAAGAAATCTTTCTGATATTGCTTTCAATTCTTCTCTCGAATTAAGAGTAGAAGATATGGTATCACCTATCATACTCTCCAGAATAGCAAAAGGCTCCTGGCACAACTAAGCCGACAATCACTCTCGAGTAAACTTCCATCCCCCGTGGAAAAACGCCAACCATTGAACTCATATACGTATACCAGCTGCATTGGCATGAACACTGAATTGCAAACTAAAGTTTCTAAGCTCAGTGCAGTGTCGTACAACTGCCCATTCAGTGCAACTTGACTGGGATAGCGATGACAGCACAAATAAATGATCCAATATCTAGGGACAATTGTTCGGTACCATGTACTTGATCATGAATTTGGTTGAACATCTCTGCTTCGAACATAGGTCAGAAACTGATGAGGTATTTCTGCTAGCAGTGCTTGAACAACAGAAATTCCTCCACCTATAAGCAAAGTGTTAGCTATAAGCACAACGGTAGTTCTCCACACTTCACATCAAAATCAGGTTCCAATTTGATCTGATAGAATCACTCACCCTGTACGTCCCGAAATGGAACAAACTGGACTATATCACGTGAAGCCACACGTCCAGTTGTACTTTCAAGTCTCTCTCCCTTGTCCGCATCTAAAACCTGCGTACAGTTAGAACAGAATTAGCTCTAATACAATTTGAAGTTTGAAAAGATGCCTAAGAATCCAGTAAAATTACCAAGAGGGTTGCATCTCTGATTTAACGATTTTGGATATTGGAAATAAAGTACACGTATAACAAAAAAAAAATAGAAAAAATCTGATCTAACTTGGAACATTTTCTAGGTTAAAGAAAGGAAACAGGTAAGATGAATAAGACAATTGTGATCTCAAAAAAAAAAAAACAACAAAAATAGAAACAAGCAAACACCGAGCTAGTTAAAATTAATTTCCCTGTCTTTTTCGTGCCACCAAGTAGCTACCAACCAATGGTGCTCATTGCTGTACACATATCAGTTGAGAAGGGGCATATAAATAAATTAGATACCTCCATCTCTTTAAAGTCAGCTCCACCAACTCCAACAATGAGAATAGACAGTGGCAGATCAGATGCCTTGACGAGAGCATCTTTAGTTTCTTGGAGATCTGTTACCACTCCATCCTACAAATGATTGAGCATCATCAGAAAGAAAACCTTGATGCTTGTACGGGGGATATTTCAACATCCACCGGAAAAATAAGTATGAGCAACATGCCATCATGGGAAGGAATAATGGGCAAACTAGGATAAAGATGTTATTCATAATGCAAGAAGCGTGCAGAAAAAGGGCTATTTGCGGTGACAACAAAATTATCATCCAAAATAACAACATGCAACTGGTTGTTAGCTCTTACAGTGATTATTAGCAAAACAAAGTACTTCCGCCCACCATCTGCGAGAGACTGACTGGCAATTAACGCAGCATTGTTAATCACAGGCCCAAAAAGAGTTGGTCCTGCAAGAGATACATTATGGAGCGCACTTGTATATGCCATCAAAATTCCTTGAGTTCCTTCAACCTAAAAGATAACTTACAATTGTTTAACACAGAAGCATGCTGAATTTGGCAACATTATTACTAAGAGAACAGAAAGTGAATTTGTATTATGCAATCGATCCACCTCACAGTAGTGACTACTTCCATTTAGGTTGAAACAATGAGAGACTGGACCGTCAATTGGTCGTGCTCCAAAACCCCAAGCAGGAAAGCGTTTATCCGAGTCATAAAACTGCAACACCTCTCCAACTTCTAAGATTGCCTGAAATAGTCAATAGAGTAGGTCACAATGAAATAGGATCATAAAAACTTGTAGAGCTTTATAACAGGGGTCCATTTCTCACTCTCTGATATGCATTTGGCCGTCCTGAAGGATCAATGAAATGCAAGGAATCAGGAAGGCGAGGGTTTCCATTTGAAGCTGAAAGACAACAACGGAAGCCACAGTCAACAGCAAGTTCAGTTCAGCCAGCTGAGGGGAAGGTGATAAGTTAAATTCCAGGGCAAGCAAATTGCTAAAAACTAAGATGACTACTCGATACATGTAGAAAAAGCACGCTTTAGAGAACACTCCCACCAGCGAGCCATCTGACAAACTCAGTAACTAATAAATTGGAGAATAAAAATTTATATTAGTACAGAATTATAAATTTATTGTAAAAGGTAACCAACTACCTGTGAAATCAACAGCCACCATGAAGTTCATTTCATAGCCACCGGCCAAGTAATCCAGGAAAGTTTGTTGGACGCTCTCGGAGAATTTGTCCACAAATAACTGGCTTTTTAGTATCTGCAGTGAAATCAAAACACATAAATAAAATAATGACTGTAAAAACAAAGAAGAAAAACAACTCAAAGGATATCATTAGGAGTTCTATTCAAGACTTTGTTATGGTAATCGTGTCCAGCAGCAGAAAGTAAGAATAGGTTGTCCCCCTCCCCACTTAAATAAAGCTTTTCCAACTCCACCAGCGACTTTTGAACTTTTCTGATGAGATATAGAAAAGGTAACAATGAAATACATGTACTAAAAAAATCATGAAAAATAGAAAGAGCAAAGGTATTTACCCAATCAATTCGTGCTTCCCATTGCTGTTGAAGTTAAAACACTCTATAATCAAGGGGCTGTCCTGCAATTAAATACAAAGATCAACAAGAGAGCAGAAAATCAGATGCTCTCTATTAGCCATACCTATTTAATTCCTTAGGAGAAAAATATGATCTGCACTCTATAGATCAGAATGATAAAAACCTCAACCTTGAACTACCAATATGATTCTTGAGTTGTAAAGCACATGATGCACCAACTTACAGAAAAATGAACTGTAAAAGATTTCGTAGATGAAATACAAAAGCACATAATAGGATTTGTAGCATTGCATAACAACTAACTTTACAACATGGTCCATAGTAGATTTTGTGTGTGTGTGGGTTGGGGGGGAGGGGAGGGGGGTTGGGTGTAGAGTGTCCTGAGGTATGTTGTACCTTGCTTCCCACTTGTTGCATATTCAAGAATACAGGCTTCCATGTAGGATTCAAGTCATTCTTTATGACTTCGGTTTTGCAAACTGGAATTGAGCTCTTACTCTCCACAGTTTTTGAGATAACCAGAAAAGGGTCCTATACCATGAATCAGGAAATGCAACAAACATAATTCACATTCCTTGTACAAATATCAAAAGGCAATGAATTAACATCTCAACACCGCATACAATTCTTGAGAAGAGATCCTTGTGTTCCAAGTCTGAACACCTTAATATCATCTCTGTTGTGGTCTTTGAGCTAACACACTCCTCAGCATGAACAGTAAGTTTCCCACAGTGGCGTGGATGAGTAGAGCTGGTAGACTCTTCTCTATATATAAGATCCAAAGTAAGTGAGCTGTCTGCTTTGGTAACTATCTGCAAGACAGAAAGGGCTAGTGACGATCATAATCCGAATTCACTCGACTAAATAATTCACCTTAGATTGTGAATTGAAGAATGGAAAGCATACTGAAAATCCATTAACCACATTTCAGCACAACATTCTCATCATAAGTTAATACTCGGCATGATAGAACATGCAATTTAAACTACATGCATACCTCAGATAGTACACAAGTTGCTTCACCAAGATATTGCTGTTCATCTAGCTTCAGCATCTGCATCATTCATATTCTCCACCATTAACGGAATCTCAAGTATATAATTACTGTAGTAAGCACAATGCTTTTATATCAATACGTTTGAGTAAACTAACATCAATAAAACATATGATACAGTTGGCATTGGGCATTGAGGAACAAGCAACAAACCTGTGGGACAATTTTGAACCAGACTACCAAAATTGTAACTAAAGGTTTTATTTCAAGTCCTCCTTGAATTGAGAGTTAAAAAGGTGCAATAAAATTTTCTAATTTTCTCTTCCATATCTACAAGGATTATAGATAATAGACCATCTACATATTAGTTGCATCTTTTTCCATCTCATAGAAAGTTAATAATAATTAACGAATCAAGTAAGGGTTGCTGGTAAATAGTCAATAACTGATATATCCAATCTCCGAAGAGATGAATATAATAGCTGGTGTATGGAAAATAAGACACGGAAAAAAAATAGAAACAGAGCCAAATATCACATGTCACACCCTTCAGTATTGAGACTGGTAATAGTGGATCTAATATTATGTGTTTAATAGTAGATCTCTAATCAAAATTTAACTTGATTGGCACAAAGGGTTATTTTTAATCATACAAATTGCCGTGGATGCCTACCTTTACTCCTAGGTTGTGATATTGAGTATCGACGTCATATACAAAGAACCTGTAATAAGATATCAATACCTTAAATATAGCAGCACTGGTAACATGCACATCGGGTGAACTAGATATAGCAAAATGACCATTTAAACTTACACGAAAGTTTGCACAACCTCAAATTGATAGGTAATATTAAGCTTATGGATCCATTTTGGATTTAATGAATTTTGAACTACTTCCGTGCGGTCAAGCTCTTCTAGTGTTCCGTCCCTTCCTTTTGTGTAGATAACCACCATTGGATCACTCTGAGGAAAACAGAACTTATTAGAGGCTAAGATTTCTTGGGGAAAAAATGGTACTGAAAGATGGATGGATATTTACACTATCATTAATACATCCAAAGTTGGGTTCAAACCAAGCTTGGGAAAAACACGACTTCCAAGCAAATTAAAATACATAAAACATGTTCAAATCAGCGACTTCGTTATAGTTTTTCACTCAGCCTAGCGATGAAAGTACTACAGCGACTTCGAAAACTCTGGCATAAGGATGTCTAATTCATTAATTTTATTATTTCAAAGGAAATTAATGCCTGCATATTGCATGAAAAGCATTATCAACATGGACAGTCTTTCGAGGTCCGTCAAAAGGATACCAACCTTGGATAATATATCACGATCGCGCAAGTTAGATGCAGAGAATGAGAGCTGCAAGTAGAAAAGGAGATGAAATAGGAGGATGAAAGTAGTTAGATGACTTAAAATTTTATGAAATTAAGAATAAGCAGCAAGAGAGGAAGCAAACATGACTACATTTGCAGACGAAATCTAAAACCAAACCAAGGGCGATGGAGTGGTTGTAATGCAAACCAAATAATTGAACTCCAATAGAGAATAAGAACCAATTAGGAATAGTAACAGAGTAGAAAAGGCATGGCGCAGAAATAATTATGGGAAGCGGTAGGGATTAATTGAAAGAAGCAGAAAGGGGAAAAAGGAATGAGGGGGAAGAGAACCTCGATCTGAGAATAGAGGCCACGATAGCCTCGAGACAACAAGAAACAATCTACGGCGACGTTAGAAGTATCATTTTGCGAGAAGGCAGTACCGCCAACGGCAGAGCGGCCAACGGCGTCGTCGGAGAAGCAGTTACCCATAGTCCGAAAGTAAGAGCTGAAAGCTGCCTCCAGGCTCCAAGTCCTACTGGAGCTCTAAAATTGAGCACGTAACAAAAGGCAAAAAGGAAAGTAAAATCAAGGAATATGTAATGTTGGGTTCAAGTTCAAGTTCAACTCTCAGCCCTCAGGGGAAGAAAGGAAGTAAAAACGAGGGCCTGAAATTTCAACTAGTTACGAGCCATTTTCATAATTCTCCAGCTCGCAAAGGCAAATATAAGCTTGTGGGGGCTCTACTGCGCAAAATGGGTATTACCAAGTCAACGAAGACGTGGACTTGACAGATGACCAATGGGCATGGGAAATAAAAGGAAACACATTCGTAGGCAGTGGGAAGCCCAACTCCCCTTCTTTCAAATCAAACTTCAAAGCGAAAGAACCAGCGGTTGAAGCTTCCCTAACTTGATCTTAGGAATTAGGACCAATGGCGACACAGGCAAGGAAAAGACCAGCACAGCACAGCAGACACGCCAAAAATAAAGCGAACGCTCAATTTTGCTTGTCTGCTGCTTAAGTGGCAAACATAGCCTCCCATACCATACCAGACTTGTTTGCGACTTTATTTAGCTTTTCAGAAAAAGGAAATGCACCATTACTTTGCTTGCCACCATTTACTTACCCAAGCAAGCATTCCGCTTTCCATATTAACACCACAAATAAATAATCACAACGGAGGAAGGCGGAACCCTTCTGACCATCTTTCACCCGTATTCGTGTGTTAAAAACTACACCTTCTCTTCAAAGCAAGAATTTGATGTGCAGCTTCAAGTATCAAAACTGGTAACAATAGCCTCCAACTCGATTGAAATAGCCTAGCCCCCTTGCCTTTTGCAGTGGAATCAACATACTCAACAAGGCCCGGGAGGTCAACCATAGGAGTAAGGGCGCAATGAAAATTATCTGCCATTGATGGTGATGGTGATTGGTGTATGAACTTAGAACTCGGAGACTTCGGGCGTATTTGAAAGTGATTTTCGCATAATCACTTTCTTTGCCATTGATCATGCTTGGTAAATTAGAAAATTAATTTTAAGAGAATTTAAAATCACTGTAAAAGTATCACTTAGATGATGATTTTGGAAAATCAATCGTATTCAAATCTCTTTTTCAAAATCACTAATTCTACCATCACTCCCAAACACACCCTTACTCTCAACAACTCTAAAGTCAAAACGTGGACTTTTGGTCAACACTACCTACTGAAACATAATACATATTAAAAGATAAGAAGGCGACCAAAGAGGCATGGGGCCATACAATATAAGTTCGTCACAGAAGCCATGTGCCCACTAAAAGAATGAAACATCTGAACCTATGCACAGTTCGTAGAAAATTCATGTAGGACAACAAGATCAACAAATTTACATATCCCCAGAATAACACCAGGTCACAAGCTGCAACTTCGTCAGGTCTTCTTGGTTTGTCATCAGATTGTAATGTCGTCACAACCAGATTACTATCCACTGCACCCTTGCCGCATATCTTCCAACTAACTCAAACACATTTTCATGCTTCAACACTTAGATGTATCAGAACTACCTCTTGATAAGTTCCTCTGAGAAAGTAAAAAAGATGTCCAACAACGCAAGATTACCTCTGATAGTAGTTACAGTAGCATCAGTAACTTCAACGTGGAATATCTATACCATTTTGTGTAATCCAATGTTCAGGTCAGATGAAATGGAAATCAGAAGAGGAAGAGAATGGAGCCAAACAGCTTTAAAGACACGTTTCTGATGAGCTTTAATTGAACAAGATGGCATGTGAGAATTATATCTGATATCAAAAACATGAATTACAGGATCAGCTGAACCAGATGTTAGGTGCAAACCATCAGGAGACCACGCCTGGTTTATCAGAGCTGATTGAGATTCACTGCTTTCTTGCTTCCACCCAAAACCGTGGACTTCTTTCTGTTTTGACCTAATGTCAAACAGCCGAAGTTGCTTTTCTGGACTCCTGCATGTAAGACAGTAAAAACACCATTGAATGTTTTACAAACCAATGTCTCACGCACAGAAGTAGTTAGTCCAGTGGCCAAAATTTAAAACAAGTTCCTATTACTTGCCTATTAACGTTGAACTTCTCATTTAGAAATCAAATTTCTCAATGATAATGTATTTATATTTTAATAAGCAAGAAAAATATCAAGCTATGGGTTTGTTTTTAAATATATAAAACACTTGCAGATAACAATAACTAAAAACCTTGTCAATAAATAGGTGCTTCTCACCCTGTTTGGACCATGAACAGGTTAAAATCACATGGATTTGGCAAGACACTCATACATTTGCTCTCTAATTGATGCTTGAAGAGTACGCTTCCTACTTGAACATCAAAACCAAGGATCCTCTTGTCTGCACCAGCAGAAAGTACGATCTGCTTTAGCTGCATCCCAGAGACGCCCATGACAGCTGAAGAATGCAGGTCTCTGTGCAACAGTTCTGGCTTCCATGTATTCTTTTTATCTTTCATACTCCATAGAATGACAGCATGGTCACTGCCACCAGTAATGAAAGGGACAGATTCCCAGGGCAAGAAACTGATGCTGTTGATAATGCCTTTAACATAAGGCTTATCCTCTAAGAAAATCACAGAGGCCCTCTGTCAATAGATATAGACAGAAAATATTACCTCAAACCTGGAAGCCAAATAATAATATTCCTCTGCGGATACATCATATATCTTTTTTTTTAACACGATACGAACTTTTCATCGAGAGACGAAAAGGAATAAAAATTGTTCAATGATACAAATTCCAAAAGGTGCAAAAAGGAGAAAGAAGAAGAAAATATATTAAACGGAAAAAAATGACTAAAGGACCAGGAACAAGCATGCTTGAAATCAAATTATAAGCATACTACTTACCTCTTTAGTCTTGTTGAATTTCAAGATCGATATTTGAGAGTCACCACTATCGGCACTGTACACAGAAAATAGGCTGTTTCCATCCGGGTGCCAAGCTATATCTTCAGGCCATCTTCTCTGCTTTTGAGACATACAGTCAGTAGTACAAAGTAGAGAGGCCGATGACCTGATAAAATAAGAAGAGTTAAGCATGGAGCAACGAAAGAAACTAAAACACCAAGAGGCTTCATATCTTAGACTACTAAAAGGAGTAACACACTAGTAATATGGCATCCAAAATAAATTATTGCCAGCTATATGGGCTTTCTGAGGACTTCTTAATAAACCAAGTACGGGTTTTTACAATAACCAAAGTAAATTATATAACGATAACAATGAGACTAAAACCTATTCTATTATATTTTTTACTATATTATTCCAAAAATGGGTTGATAATTGATATTAAGCATTTTTTGATAGGTAAGAAAGATTGGATTATAGCTTATTTCCATTAGCCTTGTTCTTTTAACTACTAATATCGTTACTGAAAGTTAGTCATGGGTTTCTTCAATAGGGAAATGGAAAGTTGGGTGGATCTCATTCAATTATTGGATGTGGTAAGGCTTGGAGAAGGTGGCAACAGGGTTTATTAGTCTCTAGGAAAAGGGGAAGCTTTCTCCACAAAGTCTGCCTTCTTAAAGCTCTCAGAAGCCCCATTTCTTTGAAGAACTCAATTATTGCTCCCATTTGGAATTTTAAAATACCTAAGAAAATCAAAGTGTTCCTTTGGTCCTTGGCCTATAGAAGTTTAAATACTCAAAAGGTTCTTCAAAAGAAATACAGAAATTGGACTATTTCCCCCTCTATTGTTTGTGCAATTGTGAAGGTGAATCCTTAGACCACTTATTCATCAATTAGACCACTTATTCGTCCATTGTTCTTTTGCGGCCCGAGGCTGGGTCTTTCTGCTGCATTTTTTTTGGCATCTCAACCTGTTTTCCGAGATATATCAATGGATGGTTATATGAAGTCTTGATAGGTTGTCTTCACCTAGAAAGGCTAAGTTTCTATAGAACAGTGCGGCGACAGCTCTTATTTGGCACATTTGGTTAGAAAGGCATGGGCCCAAGTTTGAAGATAAGGATTCTACTTTTGACACTTTTAGTATGAAATGTACAGCATACAGCTTCTTGGTCATGTCTTGCAAATAGGAAATTCTTTTGTAATTTTTTAGTACAACAAGTCGAACTCATGACCGGTTAGAGAGAGACGTCAATTACCGTTGAGTTAAGCTCATGTTGGCTCAAAATTCTATTGTAATTATAGGTTCTCCATGTTGGTAAACAACTGGAAAGCTATTTGTTAGCGTCTCTTGGGTGGGCGTTCTCTCTACCCCAGTTCTTAGGATGTGCTAACCTTTTGTTTATTATTCTAAAAGTCTCAGGTTTCTTATCAAAAGAAAAAGAAAGTTATTCATAGGTTAATTACTGGAGTTTCAACCATGTACTTTCTATAAAATAGTTTTCTGAGTCTAACCTATGATTTGAAAACAAATATTAATATTTACCATTACTTTCTGTTGAGACTTAAAATCTAAATAATCATTATTAATTAACAGACGTAAACATTTATGAAATTTTAAATTTTTACTGAGCACTAAAGTAAGTTCAAAAAATGTATAGCAAGCATTCAAATTTTTTAAATTGAAACAAAGGTTTTCGTAGTTCAAGATTTAAGTTGGATTAATTTAAAAACAAGTGTGGAGGAAAATGAGCAAGACACAACACGAGAGAATATGCAATAGCTAAAAATTGGAATTGTAGCAATTGTTAAKTACACAATAGTTAGAATGGTAGCGATAGCTAAAATTGAATAAAAAAACAAAAATTTCAAGTAAAAAATGCTTACGTGTAATATGCTTAAAACAATAACGTATGATGTTTTTCTTATCAAATAATAACATATGATGATTTTTCCTCAAAATTTATTGCTTCATCCTCTCTATAGGAAAATAAATAAATAAAATTTTGTGACCAACAACTATTTGACTTATGTTCATGAGTGTCCAGACAACAAGTGTTTGATGCATGTCCAGCAAGTGTAGAACCCATTCTCAATTAGTTCAAACAGTGTTTCACATGTGTCTATTGTATCTAAAAAGTGTTTACATATATCCAAGAAGTGTTCAAGTTTCTAAGTGTCCAACACGTGTCGGCCACGAACATCTTATCCAAAGTAACAAGTCAAACTACATTAAAAGCAAATTGAAGGCAAATAAATGTAAATGCACAACCTCAATTATCACTCAAACTCTCTTGAAGCTAGCATAACATGATGATCTCTTTGTACTGAATAGGTAGGCTTTAATTATGGGCAATAGGTTTTTGGGTGGATCCGCTTTGCAATAGTTTTGAGTGTTGAGATCTTATAGTTTTCTCGTCTTCTCTTGGTGGAGGGTGGTTTCAGATTCTTTACTTCTTCATTCTGGCAGTTAGTTTGTGTTAAGTGATTGTTTTGGTTTCCTCCTCAACAATCAGTCCTTTTGAACTGGCAAGCTTTATTGATGAAAGTTTTTCAGCATCTTTTCTTGGGCTTCATATCTCGTCTATTTCATCGTTTTTTGTCTCTATGTTTTGGTTGTTTTTCTTATTCTTTTTTCGCTTCCCAGGAAGCTTGTATCCTTGAACTTTTTTTTTTCTTTTCATATAATCAATGAAAAGTTTGTTTCTGTTCAAAAAAATATGATGATCTCTTTATAGTGAAGTAACAAACTACATTGGTAGTCACATAAAAGCAAATGAATGACCTCGTTAAAATAACTTGCCAACTCCAATTGTGCATCATTACTCTTCATTTGGCATCGGCAAGTTGTTTATGGTCCAACCAAAAAAAAAAAAGACTACTCAATACTATTTAAAATTTACACCCGGAATAATGAGAAATAGAAGAATCAATCTAGGGGCTTACCCCTTGTACTGAACTTGCCACAAGTTGATCATTCCATCCAAAGCACTACATAAATCCCAAACATCAAGCACTTGTTAGATTCTCTAGAAACCCCAATGCTTACCATCTTGCACATTATGCATACGGAAATTTAAGCATTGGTTTCATAACAAGCAGAAGGATTTCAATTAATATGCAAGTGTGTCTCTGCACTCTATAGATGCATCTACATTTATATGTGTTCTAATAATAACAGCCGCTTACCTGGTCACAAAAAGCTGGTCATTAACTGGACATGGAGCAAGACTTCTCATTTTTCTCTTGTGCTGACTTGAGAAATAATAACTTCTATCACATTGGGCAGTTAATGGCGATGAGCTACTACGTACTAATGGAATCAATTCTTTGTGATCTTTCTGCTCTGGTATACAATGCAAACATCACGAGTCCAAACAAAAGAATGAGGGACCTGAGGTACTGTATAGAATATGAAACTAACGAAGTTGCATGAAGAAGATAGCACTGCAAGGTTACCCAACGGAAGGTTGAAGTATTACCAAACTTTCTTTTTCTTCTATCACTTTCATCTTCAACAACTCCCTCAGTAGAAGATACTGTACAAGGCCTGTCTTGTTCAGCTGTCATGGCAAGATTGAGAATTGAAGGGCTCTTTTGAGCACTGGAACCAAGAATTGTTATTGCTTTGGAACCTAAAAGTATTCTAGTTATTTCGGAGATAGTTGGAATTGTAGCAATAGCTAAGTGCAGTGTAGATTAACTAAGCAGATTATATAACAACCTCCATTGGCATGAATAGGACTGGCTGGTCTAGGCTCAGCCTCCACACATTTGAATCCAGAGTCTTGAGAACTTTTTGATGAAAGAGTATAACGCCGACCTCGAAAGCGTGCCAACATAGATTCAGATTCCTGCAATCGCTTCTCTGCTTCCTCTAGCTGTACAAGTTTTGAGAGTGCATACGAACTGATAATTATTTTTCAAGTATCTAATGAGACCTAACAAGAAATCTTGTCCAATGTGCACTAAATGTAGAAGGACATAGTATTTCAACCTTCACGCAAGTTATGAGATCACAAACAAAATGACACGAAGGATTCAGGCTCATGAGAGTTCCCATATGCAATATATATATATATATATATATATATATATATATATATATAAAGGAAGCAATCGAGCATTTAAAACAAAAGTTTTATCATGTTCATTGGTTGATAAAAACATGCAGCGATGACCGATAAGAGGAAGTAATGGTTTGGATTCCACTTGTTGAGATTCAGGTAAAATTTAATTAAAAGAAATGGAGTCTGAGACCAAAATTATAAGTGAAATGTGTAGAGAAAAGGAAAGTAAGAACCTGACGAGTGTAGTAGGAAATACGGTGCTGCAGATGTTGAACTTCCCGAGTACGATGCTCGACTAGTGCCAAGAGCTCCGCCTCTTGCTCTTCCGCGGTGCTATTGCATTCATCCACCGCGTCGATTGCAGTTGGTTGGGCATCGGAAACGGAAAGTTCCTCCACTTTTGGTTTCTTCAGAGGCTGGGTCATTCGTATTCCGCTTGGGTTTGCCCTATAGTTTTCCCGCCACCACCACTAGAACGGTATTTATCAAAAGATGGCTACAGTTTTTCTTTTTTCTTTTTTCCCACTCTTCCTCTCTTTTTCAAACGTTCTAAATCGTAGCTTGGTAAGATATTAATTGACCAGCCAGTCAAAACAGAAGGGTTAAGGTATATTAAAAAAAAAAGTCGTGCATGATACAGCTTATTAAATTATAAATTCGATAATGTGATTTGGATACAATTTCAATTTAGTAGCTTATTAATATTTAAAAATTTAAAATTATAAATTCGATAATGTGATTTTGATACCATTTCAATCTAATCTATACAGTCTAGATATAATTTGAATGGGGAACCTATAATTTATAAAGTTTAGTTCTTACAGTTAATTAAACCCAAAAAATTATTCCTACTATTACCTACTTGAAAACGTAACATATTCCTTTCTATTTTGTACTCAATCTTAAAGCTTTAATATAGTAAACTAATACGCTTAGTAAAAAAAAAAAACAAAACAGTTAGTTCATTATCATGTAAAAAAAATTGTTAGGATAATTGTATTGACTATTTGTGAGGTTTGACTAAATGGTAGATACCAAATTAAAATTTATAAAATTAAAAAATTTAAATTGAAACTAAATCCACACTATATAAAACTTTTAAAACTACAGATATCAAATTTATAATTTAAACCCATTTAAAAATATTCAATCAAAACGTAAAAGTGGGAATTAAACATGCATTTTTTTAGTTTAAAAACTTGATTTTTTTAAAATTATAATAATGGTTAATTATTAAAAGAAAACTTTTTTTTTTCTTATTGTTTGTCACAATTGTCTTCTTTTTAATTACAATATTACAAATAAAAGAATTAACCAACAAAAGGAGAAAGGGTACAAATATATTATGAAATTTAAATAACTAATAATTAGTATATTATATTATGTGAATAATTAGTATTACTAAATATTATTGATTAAATTAATTTTGTAACTTGAATGTGAAATTTATGACCGCTGAAGTATGCTCGCTTTAGCAAATTTATGAAATTTATTTAAATTAGAATATGTAACTAAAATATAAAATAATAAGCACTTATTAAATTGTCAAAATTATAATAAAATATTGAATAGGAGCAAAAGAGGAATCAAAAGCTTCTCCAACAAAACTTACCTATAGACCAGGCGAACAAAGATTCTCCACCATTGATCGTGGGAATCCGGCCAAGTGAAGAGACACACCAAGCGAAATCAAGATAGGCTACAACCAAACCATCCCATATCCCATATCCACAAGAAGTCGTTGCACTGCACTACCGAACTCTGATCTCCATATTATGGTGATTCAACATCTCTCTGAGTGTGAGACGCTCAACAGATTCTCCATTTGAGGAATTAAGAGCAATGTCATCATGGTGTGGAAGAACAACATCGAGCCTCATCATGCTCCTATGCTGATTTGAAATAGGTGCAGTTGCTTGCACGCACAGTTCAACCACCGCCGAAATTTTGCCGTAAAATCTCTTCAACTTGTTATCTAGAGGAGGCCCTTTCTCACATGCCATATATGATTGGCACCCACAACATCATTTGTCTGTCTTTGCCTCCTGCCATGTGTCACGGTCGTACATTTTTCAACCGTGCGGCGCCATGATCTAAGCTCGACCATGGTCAGTCTTACGGGGAACTCTAGCCCCAATCCACTTTTTGCGCCTTTTGTGGCTTCGTCAGACCTTAGGCGAGGTTCTTTCTTCCTAAGATCGAGCTTCACTTGCAGCGGAATTCTAACTTATCTTGGCAATGCACGTCGCCCGTACGTGCATTTAAACTCTATCGCGACTCTAGCCGACTTGCCTCTACTCTAAGCCAAGCCCCACGACTCTACCTTGCCTCTACTCTAGGCCAAGGTCTTCTAAACGCGACGTCGCAACTTGTTTTCAACCATCTTGGTTCTCAGCCATTCGGCCGTCCCACTCCTACGATAAGCCAAGATCTTACCGGGATGAGTTCTGACCTATAACAGGGTCAAAACGAGCTTAAAATGCCAATCGGGTACAACCGGGAGATTCCTGCCGCTTAACTCTGTCAAAACTAACTTATCGGACCCATCGGACGCCTCTAAGACCATTCCTGCCGAGAAACTAGTCAATAACGGGCTAAACGGCCTTACCGGGTACT